TTAAGCATTGTTAGTCTCATAATAGATCCACTACTGAATCTGTTTTTACAAGATCAAGTGAGTCCAGCAGGTGTAGTACAATATCTCTACCAATTTTTACCAGGTCTGAAAATAAATGTGTGGTCCGAGATTGTCCTGATGGAAAATGATGCCATTCCAGTTGACCAATTCCAGATGCTTTTCCTTGATTGCTGTCTTTTATCAGTGCAACTTGGATGAGTACTTGTCTGAATTCAACATCTGATTTTTACAGAAGGGGCTTGTAATACACAAGTCATATGGTGCAACTTACAAGACAATGGCATTGTTTTCCTTTGGAAATATATCTTCCTCAGATATAGAAAGAAACTATCTCTGGCTCACAGTCCTCACATTGGGAAAAACCCAAGACTTGCCATTTCCAGAATATGTCCTCGTTCAGGATATAGCAGATAAATCTGACCTGCTCGAATCTGGAATCCTAAATATGTCTTCTCCAAAAACAGAATTTCCATATTATATGTAGGAACCTATCTTTTTGATCTCTTTTCATACTGCTTGTTATGTAGACATGTTTTATATTTTCTCTGTGTCGGACAAATATAAATATGTATATATAATTTTGTGTATGGCTAAGGTGTATATAAATCTTTCTGAGAACAAAGCATGTTTGTCATTTCTTTTCTTCCAGCTATTCTGAAATATGTATGTTTGTGCAGGTGCGTATTTATGTGTGTGTCTATGTATGTGCATTCATGTACGCATACATACAGACATGCACATACATGTATATATTATGCATATAATAATGATAGTACATTCATGTACGCATACATACAGACATGCACATACATGTATATATTATGTATATAATAATGACAATAATGAGGGAAATGCAAATGGGAAAATAAAACTTTCTTCTATAGCTTACTCATTAGTGTAATTGAAGTAATGAGTTCAATAATTCTTGTGGACTTGTGCAAAACTAAGCTGCATTTAGAAAATAAAAAAATTATAAGATTTTTTTAAAACAGATTTCATAGTGATTAAAAAGAAGAACAAAACATTTTTCATTTTTTAAAGCTTTAATTCAAATAAGATCCCCTTAAAAAAAAATGAAAAGATGTATGTAAAAAAGAAAAACATCCCCATTTTTTAAGCTTCAATTCAAAGATCCCCTTAAAGAGTGTAAAAAATATAAAAAAAGAAAAATTTCCCATTTTTTAAAGCTTTAATTCAAATAAGATCCCCTTAAAAAAATAAAAAAAGCATAAAAAGAAAAAAATTCCCAATTTTTCAAGCTTTAATTCAAATAAGATCCCTTTAAAAAGAAAAAAATTCCAATTTTTTAAAATTTTAAATCAAATAAGTTCCCCTTAAAAAAGAATAAAAATACAAGTGGATACAAGATTATGGCAATTTTGATGCATTATTTAAATTGAACCTCAAAATTTCTGAAGTCCCTTGCAGAATTTAGGAAGTAGAACAAAATGACAATGTCTGGCCATATTGCCTAAAACTTGTTTAAGCATTAGAAGTATGGTGATTTGTTCCTTGAAATAAAACCTGGAAATAGAGGACAACCATCAGTTGTTGGTTAGGATGCTTTAAAATACAAGACAGAGGAGAAAGCTTCTAAAACACATACAGAAGCTCTCAAGTGGTTTCTTTTCATTCAAAAATTGCAACATTTTTTATCTGTGACTAGAGAACTCTTTATCAAGCATCATGGATGAATTTTTCTTTGATCTTGAACATAATCTATATTTTAATGATTCAATTTCTGTTTGTTGCTGTATTTGTTTTTGTAACATAACAAAAATGGTCATCATTGTGAGACTTTTCTTAGAGTATAACTGTTAAAATGCTAAAAAATAAAGCAATTTCTAGTCACATTTACAACTTAATACTGTGGAGTCATTGTTTGTTTTTTCCCATATAATAAAAAGATCTGATTTTTCTCTGTCTGTTTGTATGCTTGTTATCCAAAACTAAAAAGAAAATCATATGAATAATTAAAGAGGAAAAATAGATTATTAATTAATGCATAAAATAATTATATGGTTTTGTATTTTTATATAATTTTTATATAGTAATAGATAAATTAAATATTCACTTATGTTGTCTATACTCTGAGTTTTGTGAAAATTTCTGCAAAACTAGAGACAAAATAAGTAAATATTTAATTTTATTTATTACTATTAATGCTCTGACTTCTGATATCAAGCACTCTAATTACAAAAACTGCTTGTTGTAAAGACATTATCTTCCATACAAATCCTGATTGACCATTTTTTTTTTTATTAAAAAATATCTTTGCTATTGTTATACTTTTATATAGAAATTATCTGGTTTGAAATTCCAAATATCACAGGAAGAAGGCCAAAGTTTACAATGTCCAAAACGTTGTGAATATGGTAATAAAGATGAGGACAACAGTCTGAACTATGTAAATACTTTTATACATTTACTAGCAGTATTTACCCGGCATTGCTCGTTGCATTCCCAGTGTAAGGTTTCACAAAATGATTTTAAAACAGAATTGCTTTAGCACCAGTGCCCAAGAAACATATTCACATGCATATTGAGAAGCCTAGTTGGGGGTTCAACAATTATAGGTGGTGGCCCTAAAGTTAGACCCATTGACGGAGTGTGTGTGGTATATGTGTTACATGTGTAAAGCTCATATCCACATATATACTCTATCGATTGATTGAAATGGAACATATGTATGCACTCTCGCGATCAATCAAACTGGAACTCGGAGTGTTTATTTTAAAATGAAAAATACCAGCAGTTTTTTAAAATAGCATTTAACTAAATATTATCTTGGTAAATTTGGGTGCTTAGTGTGGTGAAGATTTTCTTTCATGTTTCTATTGGCTTTAGTTTTTAATGTCATGTTCACAAACTCAAGAAAATAAATTAACACATGCAGAAAACTACATAAGTACGTAAAATATTGCCCTTTGTAACTTTACTTCGAAACCTTTAATAATTTTAAAAATGTATTTGGTTTTCATAAAAAAATCATGCAAAAAATTTAACATTTTTTTTTTAAAATTCGACCTTAATAAGCATTACTTATAAAGCTTACATTGTTTAAAATTTGTATTCGGTAGTAGAAAAAAATCATGCTTTAAGCAAAAAAACCTTTTACACTAAACATTTTACCCCTTATAACATTACTTTGCATAATCTAAAAAAATTGCTTTTGCTGATGAAAAAATATCCGTGTAGAGTTGTAATCACAACTACATGGGATTTTCCTATCTTGATTACAACTCAGGGGTTTTGAGCACAGCTTTGAGCAGAAAAAAAACATGACTTGCAGACCCCCCACATTGACCAAAAGAAGATATAACCTCTATTGATACCTATAGAAACACTAGAAAATTTGGTGAAAATCGCTTAAGCAGATCTGCAGTTTAAACCCTACACACAAGCATACACACTGACACACACACACACAAGATGAGAAATATATATATATATATATATATATATAGTTTATTAAAAAATATCTTTGTTATTGTTATACTTTTATATAGAAATAATTCGGTTTGAAATTCCAAAATATCACATGAAGAAGGCTGAAGGGTACAATGGTCAAAACATTGTGAATATGGAAATAAAGATGAGGACAACAGACCTAACAATGTAAATATCCTAAATAGAAATAATTCTTTAAAATTTGGCATTGTTATTTTATGCAAAAATTACTGTCATTTCCATATCTTCTTTTCCATTTCTATCATGAATATTTCAACATTTTATTACAAAAAATAGTTTTTTTTTTTTAATTTGTAAGTATATACGTTTAAAAATTATTTAACATTAAATTGCTGTTGATTAGTATGAGTTTTAGTCATAAATAATTTCCACTTTTAGTGACCAATTACAATGACATATGTATCATCCTAAACACCAATCATATGTAGCAGTTAAAAATAAATTTGGAGTACAATAACATACCTTAGTCTTTGCATAGTAGTGTACACTGTGTATTTCTGGCATTTGTGAATAAAAACTTTAAAAATCTGAACACCTGATGCAGGGTAGATAGTACAACAGTCAAAACATTGTGATAACAACAACAAAGATAAGATCAATAATCTACATGGAAATAATGGTAACTCTTTCATTCCAGAAATTCAGACAAAAATAGTTACCCTTTATTTATTTAAAAACAATATATCTATAGATAGAATTCTGTGACTTTTGTTAGTCAGTCCATCACCCCTTCTAAAATAGTGATACATTGACTAATCAAAACGAAATTTTTTGGAGAAGTGCAAACAAGTAAGGGGGTACAAATTACAGTTGGTTTTTATTAAGGTGCAATAAATAGGACAATAAATTTTCATTAATTTTTTTTGAAAAATTAAAAGTTTTATTATATAACATACAAAATACTCCCACTCTTTTAAAAACAATTTAATGATTAAAATAACAAATACTTATTTAATAAAAATTCAATAGTATTGTTTTTTGCATAACTTTTCTTTAAGTTTTTATATTTCATTGATTGGTTTGTGAAATTGAATGAAACAGAGTTTTTAAATCTCGACAAAAAATATAATGATAACTTCAACAACATTTAGTGTTGTTTAAGTTATCACTATGTTATATGAAATTATACTATGAGGATTTAGACACACTAACTGTTGCAAAAAATTCTAGTTATAAATTCTATAATTAACTTGACGTTGACATTAATGGATGTCTTTGGTAGCCTTTAAACAAGGAATTTTAAACTGATTTTATACAAAACAAAAAAAGTATGGATGACATTAGAATTTAGTTTTTCATATTCTTTGGCTACAAGCATTTTTAATTTTCGATCGACAGAGAAAAGCAACAACACCAACAATCAGAATAATTATAAAAACAAAACTTATAACAAGACCAAAGATAAGGCCGTCATTGTTTGCATAAAAAGCAGCAACATATAATCCTCCCCGATTAATCATCACGATAGCCATACCATCTTTTATATTTACTGGAACTTTCTGCCAAACACCCCCAGGACTATTTTCTGAGCGGTACATAGAAATGGTTCTTTTGTCAGAATTAGTAAGCTTGATGGAAAGTTTTGCTTTTTTGTCAGCAGAAAATTTCTCTTCTGGTCTCACAAGGAAAAAGTCACTGCTGAAGCCATCATTTTTCTGTAAAAGAAAATGGAAATTGAATTTTCATTAGTAGTCATGTAGTTAAATTTAGGTTTAGTGAAATCAAATGTACAGTGTCCACTATCTGAACACATCAAAAAATAAGAAAACAACAAAGTTGCATTTTAAATTTTGGAAAGTTTTTACAAATTCATTAATTGTTGTACTAGATAAGCCACAAGCTACATGGCCTTCTTCTTCCTCTTCTATGTGCCATGTCCCTTCAGGTAGTTGGCAGTTATAGCTCTCCACAATTTCCTGTCCTTTGTAGCTGTTAATCACTTTGGTCTTTTTGCCATCTCTTCCAAATTCTACTTCACCATCGATTCATTCAAGCTTGCCAGGTAGGTTGTGCATTGCTTTCCTCTGGCCCTCTCGCCTTCAATCTGTCCTGTGAGTATCAAATTTTCCAAACCCTCTTTCCTTATTATGTGCCCCAGAAATTTCAGCTATTTCTTTCTGATGTTAAATTCCTTTCTTTTTATGTGTCCTTTCAGGGCGTAGGCAATAGTGGCTCTCCACTTTTCCCTATCCCTTGTGGCTCTCAATAAGTTTCATGCCTCAGTCAACTCCCCCAGACCATGTTCTGCCATCAACTTGCTTAAGTCTGCAAGGTATGTCATGCATTACTTTCCCTTGTTTCTGTATCCCTCTATTCAACCTGTGAGTATCAGATTCTCCAGGCCTTCTCATTAGTGTCCAAGAAATTTCATTTGCCTCTTCCTGATGTTAAGTATAAGCTTCCTACTTGTTTGCATCCTTTTCAAGACCTCATCATTGCTCACATACTCGCACTATGATATCCTTAGCACCCTTTTGTAGAACCACATCTCCACTGCCTCGAGTCTATTCTGCATCTTACAGGAGATTGTCCAACTGTATCACTGCCAAATAGGAAGACAGATGTCACGTAGCAGCTCAGTACTTTTATCTTTGTCACCAAAGAAATCCACCTGTCTTGCAGTACTCTGCCCAGCATTTGGAACGCAAGGTTGGCAATCCCAATTCATCTTCAGATCTCATCATCGCACATACGATGCTTTATGAAAACACTTCCCAGATATATGTGCGTGTAAAAATTTAAAATATAACTAAAATATATCAGTAAATGACATAATGAATGAAGACAAAAGGTAGATACTGATCTTAGCTTGGTTTTGTTCTCTCTGGACATTATCCAAGGCAAATTTCTCTTTTTTATATTTTATGATATATATTAAAGGCAAATATTAATCTAATATTTATATTTGCTTTTTATATCAGTAGTATATATAGTGGACAAAAATACATAAGGGTACATAAAATATCAATATATATACATATATATATATACATACATACACACACATTTATACATATATATATATATATATATATATATATACACACATATGAGACATATATATATACATATATATATATACATACAACATATATATATAACATATATATATATATATATATAAATACTTATATATATATATATATATTTACAGTTTGAATACCCAATATTTTATAAATTTAAAGTTTAGTATAAATATACATAAATAATGTACATATATTTAGATATACATATATTTACTAAAACAATTTGAAATATTAAAAAAACTTTTATATGATCTATATATTACATATATATATACACATATATATACATACATATATATATACACACTATGTATAGTTCAAATGAATCCTTTTAAAATTCAAACCAACACAAATATATATACATACCAATATATATGAAATAAATTCACAAGTATATTGTGATATGCATATATAGCATGTCAATAAAGTACATATAAAGGATATATATGGATCACAATGGGTAAATATACATATAATATAAAGAATAACATACATATATATATACATATATTGAAGAGATGACATATAACAAAACATTTATATGCTACATACATATATTTCAGCCATACATATATATATACATTTATATATACATATATATATATGTATACATATATACATATAATATATACATATATATATACATATATATATATATAAACAATATATATACATATATATAAATACATACATATATATATCATATATATACATATATATATACATATGCTATATACATATATATAACAATTATATATATACATATATATATACATCTACAATATATATATACATATATACATATACATATATACATATATACATATATAATATATATACATATCATACATATATATATATAATAATACATACATATACATATATATACATACATGATATACATTATATATACATACATATCTATACATATATATACATAAATACATATACATATACATATTATATATATATATATACATATATTACATACATACATATACATATATATACATACATTATACATATTGATACATATACATACATGTAGGGGCTCATACATATACATATATATGGCATACAATACATTTGTTTTTATATATATATATATATATTTATATATAATATAACAATCACATTTTATAAAGCTAATAATGTTGTATGCTTATATCTTTATAAAATGTTATCCCAATGTAATCTGTTCTGGCCTATACCCCTTCCATGTCCTAAAATTATTAATACATATATATTGAAATACCTGCAACACATTTTGACTATTTGATCTAAACTGCCCTGTATATACCTCATGCTCTGCCTCCTTACAGCCTGATTCTCCTGTGAGTGAAATTTAAAGCTTGTCATAATAGTATTTCTTAAATAGAATTAAAATTGCTCTGTTGAAATATATATATATATAAAATATATATTTTAGGAATCAACACTGCTCTAAGACCGATATTTTGACACCATAATACATACATCAAAATTTATATACAAATAAAATTTTTCCTCATGTCATTAAAGTTTTTACATCTAATATATTATATATATCAGTATGTTTTATTGCATTTCAGGAAAGGAAAAACGTTTCATTACTGTTTCCCAAGCTGATTATCAAGAAATATATTCATCTCATTTTTATATACACTTTAATGGAGAAATATCAAATATTTAAAAAAATCACAGGACAACATAAATTTCAATTTGTTAAAACAAATTTGTAATAAACAAACATCGTTTCCAGAAAATGTTAAAGGGGAAACTCACCCACGAAAAAATTCACAAAAGAGCATAGATGATGAAAAAAAAACAAAAACAAAAATTTTATTTTAATGTTCATATTTTATTAAAGAGGAAAGATCAAAATTTTTTGGGTATTTTTTACATTTCTTAATCGTTCCTAGCACGTCTGAAATTTTCGTTAAAAATATTGTTTTTTTTGGTCAAAAAAAAAGGACAGATAATCAATCATTTTCAATTTTTTTTTGATTTGATAAAAAAAGATTAAAATCTGACTTTGATATTCTTTTTAAATCAATTATCATTTTTTCAAAAACTGATTTTAATAAAACAGAAATTATACTGTTTATTTAAAATATTTTGAACCAAGTTAACTTAGCTTCAGCTGAAAAAAATGTAATTTGAAAATAAAACAAAGCAGGTCATAACCTTTTTGTTTGACGATTGACGAAAGGCACATTCATGACATTTAGATAACTTACGGGTGGATAATTTTTACGGATGGAAGGAAGTGAAATTATTTAAGTGAACAAATTATTTACCATTGTTACTTTTAAGGAAAAACTTTCAGATCCCTAATTTTTTATTTTTTTGTTTATTTTTTTTTTTGTACTTAGCTTTCATTTTTACGCCATTACGATGGTTTATGGAAAATATAAAGAAATTTAAAAACAAGACTGTTAATAGTGAGATTAAATTTCATAAGAAAAGGTATCTAATTAATTTAGGTACCTTTCTTATGAAATCTTATCAGAAGTGTACATAAAATACTATAATTTTATGTACATTTATTACATTTTACTGTGTTATTTGTATTTCATTCATTTTATTATTAATTTTGATATTTCATTCATGGAAAATGTCATAACTGAGATTAATATAAAAATAAGATCATATAAATTAAAGTTTAGCAGTAGTTAAATTTCATAAGATGATACTGTTACTTGTAGGTACCCTTCTCAGTTGAAATTGAAAAACTCAAATTAATATTCTCCATACGTGTTTCGAAAAGTAAAGGGCTTAACAGCAGAGAACAATGCTGAACTCAAATAATGCAACTAAATTGTATTCTGGTTGGTCTTCCGTACTTGATAATTACTGTCCGACTATAAACACAAAAATTACATTTCTTAATTACCATGGCTAATCTGATTGGTCCAAATTATACAATTTTCAAAGCACTAGACAATGACAATCTCACACGGACATTTTGAAAGGTTGATGTTGCTTTTAACTAATGTTAAAATATTTTTTTAAATTCAATTTAAAAATTTTTAAAAATCTTTTTAAAATTAAAGAAATAAGAAATAATTGTATTAAAAATTCAATTTTCATTGAAAAAATTTTTGCTTTCAGAAAATATTGTCCATATTCATAAAAAACAAATTAAAACAAATAAAAGCATTTGAAACTAAATAATATATTTGTTTTATTGAGTTTTGTATGTTACAATTCACAGCTGATTTTCAGGTATGTTGGCCAAAAAAAAAAAAAAAACATGATTTGCATTCTTCAAAGCCTTGTGCTTTTTCCTATTGTAATCACTAAAAACTGATGATCTTGAATTTCTAGAGTTTTTCATAAAATTAGTTATGGGGTGTAAATAAATAAAAAAATATTTCTGCCATGACTTTAATAAAAAAAAAAATATTTATAATAATTTCGATCATCTGTGAATAGTTTCTGAAAGTTTCATTAACATCTGACAATTATTTTTATTTTTGCAAGATTTTCCAAATTAATGTGTAAAATACAAAAAAACGTGCTAAAAATTATCTATGTTATTTACTACCCCTTGTTGCATAAAGAGAAACAAGGTTTTTAAATCAAAATTTAGAATATTCTAAAAGATGGAAAAATTTTTTAAATAATTAAAAAAAATTTAGTCTATCCTCTTCATAAAACATAAGCATTTTGACGATAAAATTTTGTTTTCATAAACTTTTTAACGTCTTTTTCATCAGACTATGCTCTATGTTTTAGAATGATCCGTGGAGTGACTTAGGTTAAAAAACCCAGGTTGTGTATGTGTGTGTTCCTTTATATATATGGGATCGGATTTCTTACATTTTTCAGCCGATAAAACAAACATCCACTTTTTTTTTTTTTGGCAGGTAGTATTTCTTATTGTCTTGCACACTTTTTTTTTTTATTTATACATTCAGAATGCTTTAAAAATTCCATTTACAAGACAATTGTTTATAATAAAATTCTAATTCTATTCAATCGTGGGACTCATCATAACGATTGAAAACAATGTTTTTGTTTGAGTTTGAGTTTGACCAATTCATAAAAAAACAAAAAACTAAGACATGCGTGTCCATCAACCTAAACAATAATCTAACTATCTCTACTGATTGTACGAATCAAAAAATCGGATAATTCTTTATCTTTAGGGAAAGATAATTCCACGTACTTTAGGGCCGTTTTTACAATTCCCTTTGCAATTTGTTACAAGGCAGATCAATAAGGCATTGGTTCTATTTGAAAATTCAATATTTAAAAGAAAGTATTAAGAAATAATTTAAAAATGCCAACGTAAAAAATCTGATAGACAAAAACAACAATATTTCAAAGATGATAATTATTAAGGAAAGAACACAGTACTTGTAATAAATTAATAAACCCAAATAAAGTTAATATTTTTTGTATTAGAAACAACGAGGGAAAATTTATTCAAATCAGAATTCTAATTATGAATCACCACAAGCAAAATATGCAATTTTTTTTACTGTATTCAATAAGTAAAAATCATAAATTGTAAAAGATTACAGAGAAAGGCTACCTACATTTTTCAACCGATTTCAACAAAACTTCACTTTTTTTTGGCAGGTAGTGTTTCTTATTGTCTTGCACATTTTTTCTTTATTTTTACATTCAGAATGCTTTAAAAATTCCATTTACAAGACAATTGTTTATAATAAAATTCTATTCACCAATCGATAGACTCATAACAATTGTTTGAATTTGGGTTTGACCAATTCGTAAAAAAAAAAAAAAAAAAAAAAAATAATTAAGACATGCGTGTCCGTCAACCTTAAACAATAATCTTTGTCAATTTTATTTTTCAGTCTTTATGATGGTGGATACTTGATCTATCTCTTACTGTCACATCCCCGGGCAACGCCGGGCTCTACTGCTAGTCACGTATATAATGCAGTAAAATTTCTTTTCTCCGTAGCATGTGCGGATAGCCTAGGGGTAAGGGTCTCCAACTGATGTCAAATCGGTCAAGTTTTGATCCCAGCTTGAAGCAATTGCATGTCTAGCCACATTAAAGAGCTGTGATACAGCAAAACAGTCCCATATATACATAATATTGCGTATTTGGGGAGCAATCCCTGTTTTATACAAGTTTCATTAAAATGACTTACATCGTACAGCTGTTTAGTTTTTTTTTTGAGGACATAAATTATGCAGAAATTGTCCAAATGTTTTATATGTCCGAGTGCTTTACTTTTAGCCATTATCATTTTATTTTTACTTTTAACTGCATACATGGATTATTTTATGTATGTATTTAGAGATGTAGGAATGTTTTATTTTCCAAACATAGTCAGCACATTGTGGCTGTGTTCATAGTTGATATTATTGAGTGTTGGCCTTTTCTTTTTTATTAATAAGGCTTCCATTAAGGAGTATGTTGTGGATAGTTTGGTATGTCTCTATGTTTATTTAAATGAAAACTAATTGAGAAATGACCAAAGAGATGTAACGTTAAGCATGTTATAGTATATCCAGTATTATTATTTATGAATTTGGGTTGATCAGGAAAACATATAAGGAATATATATATATATATATATATATATATATATATATATATATATATAGATAGATAGATAGATAAAGGAATATACAAATGATAAACACATATACTGAAATAAAAGATCAATGAATAGAATGTTGGTTACTTACTGGTAGATTTTTACCAAGCTGCTTTAAGTAGTACTTTCCCTTCTCAATGGGCCAGAATTCCATTTGAAGGTTCACAAGATTCTCTAAGGCAAGTGGAACAATTAGTAATTCAGCTTTACTAAAAAAACAAGAAGAAAGTGAGAAAAAAGAATTATTTAATGTGCTTTTCTTTTGCCAAAGACATTATGCTGACATCACAGAAAGTAAACATCTGTTATTTTCCTTTAAACAATATTACATCTTTCTATTGCAAATTACTATTATACACATGCAAATTGCAATTATATATTTATATGCTAATTACTATTCAAATTAGTATTACATATCCCCATTGCAAATTACTATTAAATATTAACATGCTAATTACTATGCAAATTACTATTAGATATACCCATTGCAAATTACTATTATGCACATGCAAATTTCTATTACATATATGCAAATTATTATTATATATTAACATGCTAATTACTATGTAAATTACTATTACACATGTAAATTACTATTATATATTCATATACTAATTACTATGCAAATTAATGTTACATATTTCCATTACAATTTACTATAATGCATATGCAAATTAGTATTATATAGTAACATGCTAATTACTATGCAAATTACTATTACATATACCCATTGCAAATTACTATTATACACATGCAAATTACTATTATATATTAATATGCTGGGGAGGGGTCTACTTTGTTATGGGGTTTGTCTCTTTTGTCCCAACCCCTAGATTTAAATGGTCTTTTAGAATGTAAGTTTGTATTTCATTCTTTTATGTGAAATGTACTTTCAAGAGATCATGACCCTTCACAACTTCCTCTCTTTTGTTGTTCTAGTTAACACTTGACATTTACCATCCATCTTTGTCCTTGTCATGCTATATGCTCACCCAAACTCATTAAGTAGGCTATTCACTGTTTCCTTGTGCTTGACTTGCTTTCAGTATATCCTGTGAGTGTTAAATTTTCCAGGCCCTCTTTCCTTACTATTGTTTAACAGAAATTTCAATTGTCTCTTTCTGGTTGTAAGTGTCAGTTTCATTCTCGTTCCTGTCTGCTGTGTTCTCAGCATTCAAAGGGCTTACACACACTGGTACACAGTGGCAATAAACACAAAAATTAACTTGTAAATAAATTTTAAGGGAAAATATCAAAAGATAGCATGCACCTTAGTTTTATTTGATAATATAATATTTTATGCATGAAGGAAAGTATCAAACTTTGATTGGTTTCACTAGGTTGGTTTTACACTTGTTAGATTATTGATGTTGAATATAAGTTTTTTTATATTTGAATCAGCAAGCATTTACTAGCTAGGTGGGCTCTTTTAGCTTTATGTTATCCTGTACACTTATCCATCTCTTCTGTAACATGTTTTCTTCTACTAATCTCCCTTTGACTTTCTATTGATAACCTCCCTTGGTTGTCACTCTCTCGATGTAAAATGTAGCCATCTTGTTAGTTCATTAAAGCCTTCTAAAGGTTTCATGTTTTCCTGTCATCATTTCAAGCTTTTTGCAAAAAGTAGGCTTAATATATTCTAAGCTACATCAATATGGCAGAGAAATATTTAGGAGAAACTTTTAGATTGTTATGTCCATAAACAAATACATAGATAAAAAAAAATTAATTATGCTGTCATTGTGTCATCTCCATAAAAAATAAATAAATAAAAATTAATTATAGTGTCAAAAATAATTATAATAATAATTCTAACAATTATAATTATCATTAATTCACTCTTTCTAAATCAATGAGAATCAACCCTACTTTTCTTCTCTACACACACAATGATGTGACGTTATAACTATTGGACAAGCAGTTCACATGGACAGGTTCCCAACACGTGTGTCAATGAAAATTTTGGCTCCTTTTCCTTTTCCAGGTCATAATAGTAACATTTATTGCTTAGCACTCAACAAAAATCCAAGGTAATTCCACACACTTCTTGTATTTTACAACTAAATTATCTGGATACTCATTACACAGATCTATAAAAAAAACATATGCGAAAGACAATATACACTTTACTTATTCTTTATCTTAGCATTCTGTCGTATTCTGATTCATAGTTGATCTATATTTGACACCAGACTCACTATTTTTATTCAGTATTACTATCTCTAGTGTCACTACATAATGAGCAGATAATAAATAATACATGTTTGTTTCCACATCTTACTGTTTTTCATTTTTACAAGTATTTTCGTATATATATAAATGTTAGTGGGTTTATAATTATTTACTCAGAGTTATAACTCCTTTACAAGATTCAGGCAACTATTCAGACAACCAGTCAATGGTCATTAGTAAGCAGTTAGTATTATTACCTTGAATTTTGTTAGATGAGAAATGCTAAAAAAGTAAGAGAGTACATCAGCAAAAACATAGTGATCAAAACAACAAAGACAAAGATGTTAGTTCAAATAATTCATGGAATAATTATACTACTTCATCTTTAGGCTAGAGATTGATTATTTGAGATTGTTTTGTTTTTTATAGTTTATCAATAAAAGTTAACATGCAATAATGTTAAGAAACAGGCTAAACGATAAAATGTGATAATAGGGTTGAGTTTAAGTATCCCCGCCAAAAGAAAAGAAAAAAAGTACAAATAAAATAAAAACTGCAAAGAATTAAACCATACAATACTTAAGGATAAGGGTAAGATTTAGGAACATTAAGATTACCTCCTCGGTTATCCATCGAAACCGCAATCCAATGAAATAAGAAAAGAAGCCTGTCCCCACCGCGGGCCATTTAAAAGATATTTTGCGCACCGGAATGGTTGTTACAAGCATCCAATCGGATGTGCGGAATATGTGGTCTTTCTTCCTCTTATTCTTTAAAAAGGCCAGAGTGGCTGTTAGTGTTTAGTTGAAGGGGAATCAGGGGTTGATCTCCCTGATTGGGTCGATTTGGTGATGAGGAGTATGATGTTGAAAGACCCAAACTCCCTGATGAACCAAATCAAAACATCACTGACAACCCCCTTGGGCGCCTACTTAAAAGCGTATTTGCGAATCAACCCTTATTATGGTTTATTGTGAGTTATTTAAAACTGTAACATAATTTGGATTGTAAAAATAATTCTTTTTTTTTTTATGAGTGAATATTGCATTGACAATTTTTTGGAGACAATAATTTTCCTAGATACAAATCCTACTATAAAGGTGTAGGTGAATGCAATGAACTCAATTGGAATTCTAACTATTTCTCATTCAGAGCTACTATCTGTTATGCCACTTGCACATCCTAGAAAGGCTAGGGAATGCACGTACTAAAAGGCAATGATCAAAACAAACAAGATAATGATACTTGTTCTAATAATTAATTAATAATAAACATTCTTCATGTTGGAATGTTGCACAACTTTTGTTGGTTCATTTTTTTTTACAATGATGTTCACCCTGTACAAGGCCCAAGAGCCACTTGAGATAGAGAGTTACAGAGTAAGAGGCACCACACCAAGCAAGATGATAATGCCACTAAGATGCAAAGGGCCACCAGAAGTTAAAAAGACCAGAAAGGAGTGTGAACCAGACGATAGGCAAACCTATCTATTCCTATTGCAGAAAAAAATGTGAATAAATATTAAATAAAAATCCATAGTTTTAGGCGGAGATGTTAGAAGCATAGAGTTGCAGTAGATTTTAGAAGGAATTGGAAACACAATCCTAAACAGGGATAAACCTCTACTCCTGTTCAAAGATCAGTTATTACTACTTCCTCTTATTTGTTTGAAATTTTTGGGTTCTGCCCAAAAGAAACACAAAACACTTACTCTTTTATTTGCAGAGAGCCACCCATCTGACCAATGGCTTTGTACTGAGTTGGGAACTTGCTGACAACAATTTTCCCTTTTTGATTTCGGTTAGAGAAGTTATTGTTCCTTGTACACAGGTAGTGATATATGCCGGACTGGGTGATTTTTCTGGGTTGGAGATCAAAATAAGTACTGGCCTTGTTCAGGAGGGGGTCTACCTGGTTTGTGCTTCCTGAAAAAAACAAAAAGAATTAGGTTCTATACATAGAGTTTTAAAAATCACGAAATATCTTCTATTTTGAGCTAAATTACATCTTTTTCCTGTTAATAGATACTCTGAATCTTCTAACTCATTAATTTGCATAACAACACAACATTTTTTGGGATGGCAGGCATTAATAGATTGAATAAGTAACAAGTAGGAAATCTTTATGAATTTGACATATTTTGCCGTTATTGAGTTTTTTTTATCATTTCCCCCACTCCCAAGCAAGGCAAGGCATCAGAGCCACTAAGACGCAAGGGAGTTACTGTGTATGAGAGAATATGAGATGAAAAACATTATTAAAGAGAGAGAAAATTAAAAAAATAGGAATTAAGAAAACAAGATAATAGTTGACATTGCATTTAAATTTTTGAAGATCAAACTTGAATGGAATGCAAAAAGGCTGGAAGTGAGTTGCACAAGTGAGAAGTGCGACAGAACAAACTTAGTATATGACTAACGGTTACCTCCAGTCATTTCAACTATAGAATGATGAGACCTTGCTGCCAATCTAATACAGTGCTTAAATTCATAAAATCTAGGTACTATAGCAGGAAGTTCATCAGAACAAATACTATAGCAGGAAGTTCATCAGAACAAATACTATAGCAGGAAGTTCATCAGAACAAATACTATAGCAGGAAGTTCATCAGAACAAATACCATGAAAATATTTATAGAAAAGGCACAAAGAAGCTGCATTATGGTGATGGGAATGTGACTGAAGCCGAAATTGCCAGGTCAGGATCAATAAAATTGCAGATTTTTTTTTGTATTTTATCAAGAATCTCTAAAAACATTGTATAAGTACCAGACCAGATGTGGCAGCTATATTCAATGTATGGATGAATGTGTAAGATAGATTATGGCAAGAATGGCAAAAATCATGAAATGAAAGTTATCCTGAATAGCCACTCTTCTAGATCTTTTTGCACTAATGCAGGTGTCCTCTAGGGCTCTATTCTTGGTCTTACTTTGTTTTCAGTTTTCATTAATGTCCTTCCAAATAGCATTAGCACTCAACTTGGTATCTATGCTGATGGTACAACCATTTACTTTTGTCTCAGTAGTAAGTCTAATCAGTTTGATAAAGTCCAATTGGTGGCTGATGTCAAAAACGCCCTTCAGTCTGTTGTTAACTGGGACAAAGGGTGGCTTGTTAATTTTAACGTTTCCAAAACTAACCCACTTTCTAGTAATCATGTGAGAGACTGCTTTCTGCCTTCCATCAGCATGGTTGATTCTTATCTCCAGGAGAGTGACTTGTTGCGCCTTCCTGGACTAATGTTCTTGGATGATATGAAGTGGAAAGACTATACAAAACATTGCTAGCTCAGCTGCTAAGAAAGTTGGTTCACTATGTCATACTAGACAATTTTTCTCTCCAGAATCTATCTTGTATAAGTCTATCATTCATCCATGTTTAGAATATTGCTGCCATGTATAGTTAGGTGATCCTGCTATATGTCTAGAGATCCTTGATAAAATCTAAAGAAGAATCAGCAATTTTATTGGTCCTGATTTGGTATCTTGACTTCAGTCATTTTCCCACTGCCATAAAGTTGTCTCCCTGTGCCTTTTCTATAAATACTTTCGGGGTAATTGTTTGGATGAGCTCTTCACTATGGTTGTTTTATTCCTCTCCCCACCACAGACAATGAATTGTAAACATGGGGACTAGTTAGTATTTTCATAGAGACAAAGAGGTTTATGATGGTTGTAGTAAGAAAGGTACCTATGACAGAAGAAGACCGTCCTTCCTCCAATCCCCTTTTCGGCCATGTGCCACATTTCTGTATTAAACAGAATAAATATCGCTCTTCACTATGGAAGTAGTGTAAAAAAAAGAAAGACCCTTCCAATAAACAAAAAATAACTGAAAACATCAAAGAATCAACAAAGTTGGAGGAAAAGATTAATGAAGTGGATAAATTTATGGAAGCTGAAAAAGATCTAAACTTGCAGGAAAGCAGCATCCAGGTTATGGATTTGGAAAAAAGTATGGACACTGAAAATAGCCCAAATTCTGTGGAAAACAGTGACAAAGTTAAGGATTGGAAAAAAAGAAGCATGGTGACTGAAAAAGGCCATAATTTAAAGGAAAAAATTGCAAGCTTGTCAAACAACAATGTGGAAAAGAACAAATGTATCAGTTGGGGAGACACCTTTCTGGTAGAAGTACCCACCGAAGTGTAAAATCAACATTACGGAGTTCCTCGAGAAGGCTAAGCATTATGCACATCTTGTCACAGATAGGCTCTTGGCTAACCTCCTTGAAGTACAGAAAGCTGAAAAATGAATTTTGTCAGTCTTTATGTGGGCAAGCATTTGTGCAAAATTTGTTGCTCAACAAAAGACACTGTAATTAAATCTCTGATATCCCTGGGGATCAAACCTCAGCAAGTGATTAAAGGAAAGGGATATTTCAGGTGGGATGTATTGTTGTCAATGCCTGCTGACTGTTGTTAGCAGGGCTAGAGTGAAGCTCTGGGCAGCAGGACCTCATTCCACTGAAGTCCCTATGACAAACAACACACACAGCCTCTATCAGCACTAAGGGTGATTCCCCGACCAGCTAGGCTGATCAGATTAGGATGCAAAAATTGAAATACAAGCTTTGTTTTGAAAAGGCTGAAAAAATTCAGAAATTAAAGGATGCCTTAAAGGAGAAACATATTTAGTCGGAGAAAAGGATTGGCCCTTCTTACTCAGCACCATCTCCCCCATCTGTTAGACATCAACTCATGGCTCCTCTTTCAATAGTTGAATCTTTATCCCCAACTCGTTCAAAAATGGCTACCTTAAAAAAGGTTCCTATTCCCAAGCCTTCAACTAAGAAAAGAACTATCCCGCCTAATACACCTAATCGATCCCCTGCCATTACTCCCATCAGCAGAGCGCAAAAGGAATTCCAAAACCTAAACATCAGAGAAGCCCGTCCACAGATTCAGTTGTTTCTGTTTCCAAAAAGAAAATAAAACCCATCTTCAATACTGGTGAAAACGTCTGCCGGGTATCATGAGAACATCAGGAAAAAGCTATAACTCAGGCGAGAAAAATCAAGGACAAAGACATTAATGAACCATGAAAAAATCAATGGACTGGATGTAGAAAATCTGTCCAATTTCCCAAATGCGAAAAGCTGGTGCAGGAGGTCAACAAATTTGGAAGATGATCGAGGAGACTAACAAAATTTTCAAAACTTTTCCTCCTCTGGCCTTTTTTAACGAGGCTTCAGCACAAAAAATTTAATCAGTTTTGTTCAGGGAGGATCCCGTTTTTTGTTCACCCCATCCTGTAAAGAGCTTTAAAATTTACGTTCCCTGGAACATTGGCACCCTGTCTCTTGATGGCACCATAAAGACTGAGGTGGGCACAGGATCAATGGAACAGGCCGTTGGTGTCCTTACCCTGGCCATGTTCAATGCAGAAGAGCAACCCTGTTTAGCTCTCTGGTTATCTAGTGTGAATGCCCAAAGCCTGAGGTCAGTCTCGCTGGACAAGGCTCTCTCGTGACCTTCAGCATCTCGCTGGGCAAGGTTCTCTCGTGACCTTCAGCATCTGAATATATGTTGTGCGCAACATACCCGTTTTTCTTCTCGCGATTATGAAGGCATTCTGTCTAGGGGTTTTTCCCTCTATTCACCATATTTTGGTGGACACTTGAGGTGACGTGAAACCATTTTGGGACTTTATCAACAAGTTTGATCTTGTCGATAAGTACTGGAATGAACACCCTCGGGAGGTAGTGTGGACTTGCACTAATAATGGTGGCTTGGCTACAGAGGTGCGTTCTAGCTACCTCGACCGAATCTTAGTCAGGAGAGTTGATATAGGGCTCTTTGGGTGTCCAAGTTTCCATTATATAGTTTATTCGGATCAAAGGCTCATCCAGGTCTGTGTAAACTTAGATTAGCCTAAGGTTAGGATGGCTGGCTACTGGAAATTGAACATCATTGTTCACTGGGCAAGATTTCCGTGATCAGCTGCTACTAATGCTACAGCAGGAACTGATGGGGCTGTGGTTGGGAATGCCTGGTGAGACAATTTAAAATCTAAAATTAGAACGTTTGCTGCTGATTATAGTCATCGGCTCATCCAGGTAGATTAGAAGCACAAACGGCTTGTGAGAAGAAAGTTGATTGGGTGATCAAATCCCATGATAGTGGGGACGTAGTTTTAGCTAGGGCAGAGTTGGCCTACTTGCTTATAAAGAAAGATCAAGCTCTCATAGTTAAGGCTAAGTTAAAAAGAATGTCCTTGGAGGCAACGAATATGGCCACTGAATTGCATGCAGAGGAATTTTGGAATGCATCTTGGCGACATATCGCATGTGTCACATTGCCAAATAATCAAACCATGACTACAAATGCAGGCATATACAAGGCTTTTTGTGATTACTTTCAGGAACTTTTCACCAGGGATCACAGTCTGAACCCTGCTCAGTTTAACACCTATTATGCCAACTTTTCCAGCCTGAGGCAGCTGGAGTGGCTAGGTTCAAAGGTCCCATCAAGAAATTGGAAATCTGGGATGCGCTGGAGCAGGTTGGTCTGGAAAAATCTCCAGGATTAGATGGTCTACCCTACAAACTGTACTTTAGGCAGTTGCCTGTTTTTATTGCTTTGCTGGTACTGATTTTTAACAAATGGTTGAAGCAGGGGTCTATAACTCAACTTTTCACCAGGGGTGTAATCAAGTTTTTATGCAAGGACAAAAATAGTGGGGATGGAATAAGTAACTTTCCGCCTTTAATTATGTTAAATATAGATTTTGGCCAAGATCTTAGCCAACCATTTGAGGGTTGTCCTCTAGTCTGATTGGTTCCGAACAGATTTGTGCTGTGAAGGGCAGGATTATTTAGGACAGCTTTCATATGGTGTGCTTGATTATTGAGCAAGTTGACAATGAAGCCGCACTGATCAATTTAGATCAGTCCAAAGCATTTGATAAATGACCACCATTTTCTGGAGACTGTCTTTTGGCATCTGGCTTCAGGCTGTACTTTTGCACCTGGATTTGACTTCTGTATGTGTCTTCCAGTGCACTGGTGGTAGTGAATGGGGTAAGATCAGTGCCTTTCATATTGTCTCGCTCCATTCATCAAGGTTGTCCATTTTGCTTTTGCTTTATGTTCTAGCCTGGGAGCCCTTCCTTTGCAAGTTAAAGATGAATCTGTTCCTATGTGGAATTTCCATACCTGGTGCTACCACATCGGCCAGGTATTTTGCCTAGGCTGATGACTTTTCAGTTCTTGTGTCACATAGAGCCAAGATTGACAAAGTCAGCAAAGAAATCAGAGGGTATGAGATGGTGACAGGGGCCAAGATCAACCGCAATAAGTCTGTTGGCTTGTGATTAGGTGCGTGGAAGGGAGTTTCTCTTCCTGGAATTTTCCTCTGGACAGATGAGACAATCAAGATACTTGGCTTCTGGTTTGGTCCCAATATCCAGTTGGAAATGAATTGATTGGAGGTACAAGAGAAGGCTGAGGTCACAGTTCATCTGTGGTCTCAAACGAATCTTTCCTTAAAGGGGAGGACAGAAGTATGTGCGTTGCACATCTACCCGATTCTCCTTTACTGACTCTCCGTGATTCCACTTTTGTCTACCACACTAATGTCATTAGTAAGGCTCTTGTTATCCTCCTTGAGGGCTGCTAAGGTACTTCGGGAGATCTGTTACCTCCACTCTTCTGAAGGTGGTCTGGGTATGCCTTGCGTTGAGATACGTCAACATACGCTTCACATTGCATTCCTAGGTTGAATGTGTTGCAATTCGGACGAGGGCGCCTTCTGAAAGGAAGATGCCCATAAGAATTTCCCATTCCTGAGAAGTTTGCACTTGTGTGTGGAGGAGGCCAGCTGTTTACCCTGAGGCGAGTGCTCCTTCTACCGTGAATGTCGTATTGCTTTGAAACACCTCTTATGGATGTTGGATGGCTTCTCCTATGTCCAGGTGTTGTCTTGAAATGCTTCAATAACAATGAGGCATCACTCACCAGGCTGGTGATTTGCAGGGCTCTCTGGGACAGCAAAAGACTTTGTTCAGCAAGCTTGGAGAAATCACCAAACTGTGTTCAATTGATGGGGAGGTGAAGACCCTGGGTCACACTTTCTTTCATTGCAGGCTTGTAACCCCGTTGTGCAAGTTTGCATCATGGTTCGCATGCTGAGGGGAAAGTTCTTTGTCCTTGAAGCCAGTTCTGTCTGTAGGAACATGGTACCACTATTGATGAAGGCTGAACACTATGTGTTCTTTTGCTTTATAGGTTTTATGAGAGTTGTGATTTGGACGATGTGCCAGATGGAATTTTATGGGGGTGAGAAGTTCACTTCTTCCCAATTGATCTTGTATTTTAAGCATCAGCTTAAAATCAAGATTAAGACAGAAAAGTGCCAGCTCCCTTCATCAGAATTTGGCAAAAGGTGGGCAAATCTTGCACAGCTGTGTCAAGTGAAAGGGACTGATTTGGAGTGGCACTTTGATGCTGGTTAGGTATCAGGATATTGTTCTCCCTGTGTTGAACTTTGGCTAAGCCCACGCAGATTTAGTTTAGTTTAGGTTTCTGTTTGTCCTTAGTTTCTTTTTTCAACTTAACTTAGCTAGGGGATGTATGCTCATTGGCCCCTTTTATTTTGGCCCCATTTTTCTTTAATTCCCCTTCTCGACATCTCTTCTTACCAAAATGGTGGACATTTAGGTGAGCAGAGATGTCGGCTCTCTGGTGGATGTGGGGCACCTTTCGTTTTGGGTGTGATTTTCATATTTGTTGTTGTGTTTGAATGAGTGTGTGTTTGAGTGAGTACTTGGAATAAATGAATGTTTTATATTATTAGAGTTCCACATTGATTTTGTCCAGTTAACTGATGTTTCTGTCATATTTAAGGATTGTGGGGTGGGTATTGCTAATATTTGTTTGGTTTCTTGTAAATAGTTTTGTTTTCATATTTTAACTACACAACGAAGCTAGATTTTTAAATTGCTGTTTTATTCCCCTCCCCACACAGACAATGAATTGTACATATGGGGACTAGTTAGGACTTCATGGAGATTCTGAGGTATTATGGTGGGTGAAGTAAGAATGGTAAATAAGAATGTGTTATTTTGGTGTAAGGAATATTGTTGTATGTTTGGGTCAGTGTTTATGGCTAGCTCAAGACAGATGAAGACTGTCCTTTTCCCCATTCCCCCTTTTGGCCTTGTGCCACTTTTTGTATTATCATACGAATAAATATCATTCTTCACTATGGTACCTAGACTTTATGAATTTAAGCACAGGACTCGACTGGTGACAATGTCTCATTAATTTACAGTTGAGTGGTCACATTTTCTTGTGGAACTCTCCTGGCTCCATGCTTTCCAGCCAACTTTGATCTTAAAATTTAAATGCAATGTCAATCGCTATCTGCTGTCCTGCTGATTACTCTTCATTGTTCCTGCTCCTTAATAATGTTTCTGTTTTCTAATTCCACACCCAGTGACCCCTTGTGTCTTAGTGACTTTACTGCCTTGCCAGGGGTGAACTTGCTTAAAAAAAGAATAAAAAAGCAGGAATAACTGCCCTTATGAAAACGTTTTTCTTGCAGACACAAAGGTTACACATTACTAGTACTTTTTTTTATATCTGTCTATATTTTTGAGATAAGGTAGTGTAACTATTTACATTGTTTGGACTGTTGTTCTCATCTTTGTTGCCATATTTGCAATGTATATTCCGGCCTTCTTCAGAGGATATATGTTGGAATTTCAAACCAAATCTTATATTTTGTTTACTGGGGTGGATTGTTCTAATTCCACATGCCATGCCTTTTCTAGATATCTCAGTTTCAGTTATTTCCCTTTAATAACTCAACTCTCCAAGATTTTGTTCACCTCTGCTGTAGCCAGGTATTGAACTCACAACTCTTTGGGTCAAGTCCCTGGATTACTTGATTACTTCAACAAACGCTTTTATCCACTGGTGGACAAAATAAATGGTTTGGTTTGATATTCCAATGTATATCAACTGATGAAGGTCAGAGTGTACAACGATTGAAATGTCGTGAATATGACAATAAAGATGAAGACAACAGTCTGAACACTGTAAATAGTGTTTTTTGATAATTCCATCTTCTAACAAGATGATTTGAACATATGGATTAAATGTGACAGAATGATTAAATAAGGAACAAGTAATAAATGTTTATAAATTTGATATGTTTCCCTATTTAGCTTCATCAGAAATTTGGGGGGGATGGAATGATTCAGAGTCATATTTTACTTGTATTTTTGTTTTCATTAGTTGTAGTCATCATGTGTATATCTCAAGATGTCTGTGTGTATGTTTAATTTCTGATATACTTGCTTAGTTTAAATGTGTAATAAAAATTGGGTATAAAATGATGAAGTAAAATGTCTAATATTACGTTATATTATCTACAACTGTACAGAATTCATACATTTGCAGATGATATTGATATTTAACTACTAAGTATTAATATCATCTATATTGGCCCACTACCAGAATTTCCTACCTTCCGGCTGAGTGACACTTGATCCTGAAAGTTTTCATTTATTTATTTACTTTATTTCCTTTTTGTCATACTTGTAGACAGTGAGCAGTTGCTATGATGTTCTTGATTTTTCTGACAATACAGTCATAAAACTACTAATGCTTCAGGTCCAGATAAAATCATTTACATCCCACTTGACTTTGTGGGTGTCCTAGCCAATCTAGCAATGTGTTTCAACAGTCTAATTTAGAGCAAACATATGAATATTCACCTGAGGAAGCCAGTTTAATGAGATCATTCTTTGTTAGGTTGAGAAATGTAATATTGGTGAGAGGGGCTGGGTAGCTGTTGACATAGTGACCAAAGTAGGGCAGTTCAAAGGACTTGAGTTCTTCACCACTGGAATTGTTCAGTTCAGACAGCATCAAAACATTATTGCGGTCAGTACCTGGAGTACCTTCACCTTCAAAATTTTTGTTGTTTGTGTTTGAGCCGTTCCATCTGCAAAAACAAAAATATAAGAAAAAACAATTTTTTTTTATTATGGTAATTATAATGGTAATATTAGCTGTTTACTTATAAAGAAAGTTGTTATGTCCCACCTGCAAGACAAACCCTACATATAGGGACTAACTAAGACTTCATAGAGAAAATGTGGTATTATGAATAAGTAAGAAAATGTTGGTTTGGTGTAAGGAAAATTATGATATATTTGGGTCAGTGATTGTGTCTAGCTAAGTTAAATGTAGGATAGATGAAGACCAAATCACCATCCCCTTCTGACCTTTTTGTAAAACCAGAAATGAATATTGTAGCTAGATCTGCTATAGTGTTACACTTTTCTTTACTCTCTTGCTATCAGACTGGGTTCAAAGTGTAGTATTAGTTCTCCTCATCTCTAATGGCAATGCTAATATTAACCGTTTCTTTAAAAGGAAACAAAGCATTTATTGACTGAGCAGCTAATGCATTATTTTCTTTAGAGTTTCATATGATATCCATTTGTTGTTTTTTTGAAAGTCCTCAAGTGATGTGGTTTCTGTTATTTGTTATAGTTCTTTATTTGTGATTCTGTAGCACCAGCAACTACAAGCTTTAATGTTTGCCTTCTTTTCTTTACAGTAATACTGTTGGGTTGGTAAAAAAGTTGTTTCTCCCTACACAGAAGTAGAAAACCATGACAGCTATCAAGGCTCAGACACCCAGGGACTGTCATAGAGGGCAAATGCTCACACAAGGACCTAGGACCTGCTCCTTGATCAAAGGACCAACTAAGGGAACCACAGACCTATTCTGATGAAACAGATACCTGTTATCTGTGTTAACAATGAACCCCTTTGGTAAGTCATGTTACACATGTAGGGAAGGACAATGTTTGTATTAGCATTTCTAATAATAATAAATATTGTTATCCTTATAATTTGTGTCTAGGTCTTCTCCTTAAACTATACAGTTCAACAATGCTATTATATTGAATAAAAAGTTTCTGAAATTGATAATGAGTATTTATTTAACACCTAGGATCTTATTGTATGTTATATATATATATATATATATATAATTATTTATTTAAAAATATGATTCCAACTCGCGACATAAGAGGTCTCATGTTTCAAAACAAGAGCCGAAAACTCCAATATAATTATTTGAATCAAATTGAGTTAAAGTAAGCTCTGTTCCATCTTCAAGCGAAATTTCTTTTGGAATAACTTATTTCTGAAATTTACGTGTTTTAATAGTATATTCATAATTGAAATCAAAATTTCCATGGTAACAGCCAGGTGAATTGTTTAAAATAGATAGGGGGTGTTTGGGTGTTAATAATAAGTATCAGTATAGAGTTACTTTCATAGATGTCAAGTCAGGGTAAGGTGGGGTGTCTAAATTTGAAACGGAAGATGTTTTCGCCCTAGTCTGGTTTACGTGTCTATGGAGATTTATTTATTTTTATTTTATTTCTTTATGAAAGGGATTTGCATATAAAAACTGCCGTAACATTTGTTTTAGATGACTTCATAAAGGTTTATCTTTTTTGTAGGTATTTAAACTATTTACTTGGGCTATGGATAATATATATATATATATATATATATATATATATATATATATATATATATATATATATATAATTATATATATATATATATATATATATATATATATATAATTATAATATATATATATATATATATATATAATATATATATATATATATATATATATAATTATAATATATATATATATATATATATATATAATATCATATATATATATATATATATATATATATATATATTATAATATATATATATATATATATATATATAATTATAATATCATATATATATATATATATATATATATAATTATAATATCATATATATATATATATATATATATATAATTATAATATATATATATATATATATATATATATATATATATATATATATATATATATATATATATATATATATATATATATATATATGTCTTGATATTTTAAAAGTGAATTGATTAATTTAAATGAAATGAAAGGTGCAAACCTTCTATCTCTTCTATTGCTCTTCAACCTGAGGTTGTTATAGTGACAAGACATGTCTCATTTCCCCTCCTGGGGACTTCTTAGACCCCAAACCATGTGTCATGTTGGATACAACACAATACAATCACTAAAAAAAATCACACAGTCAGAATATCTCAACTACAACTTATGTAATTATATTTCTCCCTCCAACACAACAAAATATCCCAGTTCAATAGACGAGACCATGCTGCTGCTATGAATTGATAACTCCTGTAATGACCTGGTAATCTAATATCAACACACTCTTCTTCATAATCCTTCAGGTTGTTGCTGATCATGGCTCTCTATAATTTCCTGCTCTTTGTAGCTCTTAATAAATTTTGTCTTTTTGTTATCTCTCATAAACTTTGTTCTGCGATCTATTTGCTCAAGGTAGATTAAGTGTTGTTTTCATCTGTCCCTCTTGCTTTCAATCTGTCCTGTGAGTATCAAATTTTCCAAGCCCTCTTTCCTCATTATGTGCCCTAGAAATTTCAACTATCTCTTCCTGGTGTTAAGTAGTTTCCATTAAGTTAAGTTTGTTTCCATTTTCTCTAAAACTTCATTGTTGCTCACATATCTGGTCCAGAGTATCCCCAGTATCCTTCTGTAGAACTACATTTCTGTTGCTTCAAGTCTCTTCTTCATCTGTAAGGGGATTGTCTAGCATTCACTGTCATATAGGTGGACGGATATTACATAACAGTTTAGTACTCTTTTCTTTGTTTCTAATGAAATTTTTCTGGCATTTGTTTTGAGATTGTAAACATTTTCACATGAATGCTGTAAAGTAAAATAAGAAAATACAAACTGAAAATGGATGAATTCTCCAGTTGCTATTTCCAGTGTATTTGGGACAAAGTCATATTCCACTGCTGGATAAACCTGGACAATGTTTCCTCTTTTTCCTCGGACATTCAAATTATGTATGACAGAATTGTTCAAATGCTGAGGTCGTTTCTTGATTGAAAATGTATGTGTCCTGCAAATATAAAGCATAAGAATTTCATTTCTAAAAACAAAAATTCAAACAATATTTATTTTTATCAATAAAATATAAGAATTTAGTAATCTTGCACCTTCATGACTGCAAAAATATGGTGTGCGAAAAGAAAGGTTTTTCCATTGACATCGCTATTATTTTAAATACCTTCACTCCTAGCAACTTAGAATTTTAATAAAACCAAAACATATGAGTGTGAATTTATACATTTTCTTTGTTCTTGAGAATTGACAATAAAAATAATAAACACTATTATTGTTTATTTACACTATTTATTTATCATATTGCTTATTGGAATGGTTGGCAAAACATAGGCTTGATGTAATATTCCATACCTACCTGTCACTCCACCGAGATAATGCACTTTTCACGCATAAGCACCTCTTAACCAATCAGCATCTTAGTTTCAGCAAACTAGGTTTTTCATTGGCTGAGATCTTAAAACTGAAGCAAGTTTGAGCAAAAATACCTTTTCCCGCACACTGCTTTTGGAGCCGATTCTGAGACCACAAAACTCAATAAATAGAAGCATTTCTTTTCTTTCTTTTTTTTTTCAGACCTAATCGATGTGAATGGCTTGAGGGATCGGGGTAAGGCGGCCCACCTGCTCTGTGATCTCTTGTCTTTCGGCGTGGATGTTGCGGCAATCCAAGAGACCCACTTTGTTTGCAGCATTGATGCGTGTGTGCTGGAGAACGACTTTGTCGTTTATTCAGCATATGGGGACCAATATGCTAGAGGAGTTTCTTTGCTAGTGAAGTGGGTGGATCTTGTGCATACTGATGCCAAGAGCCGGTTGATTGTGGCTGATATTGCTGTGAAAAATGGTTCATTCCAAGTCGTTGCGGTTTATGTGCCCAACGACCAGGAGGAGCTGCAAAACATTCTTGGATTTATTTAAGATGGAATGGTCTATTATGACATGTCTCTAATGACATATCTCTAATTTATATTTAGACTAGCAGTAGAGCCCGGCGTTGCCTGGGGATGTAACAGTAAGAGTCAGATCAGGTATCAACCATCATAAATACGGAAAAATAAAATTGACAAAGATTATCGTTTAACGTTGATGGACACGCATGTCTTAATTAGTTTTTTTTTTTTTTACGAATTGGTTAAACCCAAACTCAAACAAAAACATTGTTTTCAATCGTTATGAGTCTACCGATTAAATAGAATTTTATTATAAACAATTGTCTTGTAAATGGAATTTTTAAAGCATTCTGAATGTAAAAATAAAGAAAAAAGTGTTCAAGACAATAAGAAACACTACCTGCCAAAAAAAATGAAATTTTGTTGAAATCAGTTGAAAAATGTAGGAAATCCAATCCCATATATAAAGGAACACACATACACATACACACAAACAACCTGTGTTATATAAGTATAACTCGATATGAGTTGTCTCCCTTTCATTCTGGCAACAGAATCGTGTTTTCAAATTGATTTTGTGCAAAAACAATTGTTTTTCCAATTTTTGGTGCTGTCAGAACCACTGCAAGGTAATTTTATGCAGTCCTGTGAAGTTTCGTTGAAATCAGTTGAAAAATGTAGGAAATTCGATCCAATATATAAACATACAGACACACACAATCTGTGTTTTATAATAAGTAAGATACACTGTATTTATTTTCAATTTTTCTAGTTGTTCATCTATATGATCCATTATTGTTCATATTTATGTTACAATAAAATTTTTATATGTATACTACTTTATGAAAATTAAGATGCAGAAAAGTAGGGTAGCTCCATATCATAGATTCGGGTAGGAGCATAAGACCTTTGCACCAGCCACATCCCATGAATTTAAATTCTTGCCCATTTTTATGCTCATATAACACCTTACAGCAACTTATTACCTTGAGTGGCTCTTGGGCCTTGTAATGGGTGAACATTAGTATAGAAAAAAAAAAAAGCTTGCCATGTTCTATATTTATATGATGGGCACCAAAACTATTTGTACCTAAAACTAACAATTCATATCCATATTTTCTTTTTGGACAAAGTCCATAGAAAAAGGGGAGGGGATCAAAAAGAAGTTGAAATCAATCTTAAAAAATCAATTTAAATTTTGTAAAAATTTAAGAATTTTGTAAAAATTTAAGAATTTTGTAAAAACCCACCCAATTGGTTGATAAATCAATTGCATGACAAAAAAAATTCAGAGAAATACACACACGCATCGGCAATCATGTCTCTTTCATGACTGACAAACAAAATTTTCCCGCAGCAGGTTGCCATTTCTTTCTGCGGTAAACTGGTTGTGGTAGTGTGCAAAAGTTGCAGAGGGTGTGATGACCCCAGGCATCCATATCAGAAGGGCATCAAATCAAAGTGTGAAATAAAAATTTAGTCTATATTTAATTTGAATAAAGTATTTATTTCATGTTTCATCTGTTTTTATATACAGGTATACCTCACCCTACATTGTTAATTGGTTCCAGAGGTCATGACTTAGATTGAAAAATGACTTAAGTTGAAATAACCACACTATAAACTGTAAGTAAGCACTTCCCATTGCATATTACAGTATTTATGATATGCACGTAGAGTATTCTGAATAAAATAATTTATTGGCAATATAGCCTTATGCTTAACATGAGCAATGAAAGAATGGTCTGGCATTTTTTTTCAATATAATCCAGTTTTGTCAATGCTAAAAATCTGTTCATGAAGAAGCCCATTTTCTTTGATGATCTTAGCCAAGGGTAGATATTGGAACTACTGTGGAAAATGCCAATATTGAGCTCTTGAAGATGCGCTAAATAAGACAACAACAGAGAATCACAGATGTTTTCATATTTCATTTTCTAGGATTTATGATGATTATATTATGATTTACTGTAAATGTACATATTTTAATATGATTTTATATACTTTTACTCCTATTTATTGTACAGTAACATGTTTTATGCGCTTTTAATGCTTTTCTACTGATATTACAACTTCGATATTTGTGGCAGACAGACCTAAAGTCGAATAAAATGACTTAAACTTGATCTTTATTTTGCCATATATTTTTTTGACAAACGACGTATACTCAAAACAACATAACCCGAGGTATCATCATCATCTTGCGGCCTCAGCCGAGATTGAACTCACTACACCCCTCCAGTATTCCCTATCTGTCATAGCACCCAAAAGATCTTCCTTAGGGATCAATGTGTCTCGTTTTATCCTATCTGGAAAGGTTAACTTGCATGATCGATTGTCAGATGATGGGTGCCTCCAGAGTACAAATGATGACACAAGTTCATCTGTGGCACGTGCACAATGCCTGGCGAACTGGACACGTCAGAGATATACCTGTATATAAAATGTCTTCCTTACTCACATTTCTCAGTACTAGCCCCTATAGACCCAACATTCTCAGATTGAGAAGAAAATAAGCAGAATATGTTCTTAAAGATTACCTGCCTTTATACAACCGTTTCCTGGAAATTTAGGATGCCACCACTCTCTTATAGAGACTCTCAAGAGTCTAAATTAAACAGTAACATTAATTTCCATAACCATATAATAAATAAACAAATTTAACTAAAATTTAGAAAAATTAAAATTATGTAATAACATAAATAACATAAAATAACACCATTAAGAAATTCGGCAGAAACCAACAACACAATAAATACAAACTAGATAAAAAAATTATATCGAAACATAATGCATCAATAGATATATGTCCTACATCAGTGCTCAGCAGCTGACAAAAGAGCCCTCCAAGGAATTATAGATGTTGTCCCAAAAATAATGAGCTACTTGCTGCCCTCGCTGGAGGACATTTTTGATTCTCATTGGCTTTGCAGCAGAGCAGAAAACAATGAAAGACAGTACACATCTAGGGTACCACTTTAGGCTTATAGCCATATCATTTTGAAACACCGGCTCTCATACGAACACCAAAGTTAAGCAATGATGAGTTTGGTTATTATTGAGATGGGGGACTACTTGGGAATACCAGGTGTTGTTGCTTGAGTGCACAGGTGGTATAATGGGTTTACAGCCATATCACATTGAAACATTAGTTCTCCTATGAGCACCAAAGTTAAGCAATATCGAGCCTGATCAGTACCTAGATGGGTGCCCACTTGGGAATACCAGGTACTGCAAGTGTGGATGTGTGGGTGTTGTAATGGTTAACTGGAGAGAACTGAGTTCTAATTCCATTTGGGTTTGTTATATTTACTTAAATTCAAATACTGCTGGGAAAGGTATGAATACACCTCTTCTTCCCCCAGATATGGGTTAATTAGTAAAACTTGTGTGCAAAATATTTAGATTTTGGCATTAAAGCGGTTGATATATCACTAAACAAGAATGACCAACCAAACAGGGTACTAGTTGAATTGTTACTCACAGGGAGACATTTTAGTTCTATTATTTCTAGAACAAAGCACTTGAAGAACAGCTTTTATCCTTAGGTCGTGTGTAAAATGAACACTGCCAAATTCTGAAGATTTTCAGTCTATTTTGAACATTATTACTTTTCTTCTTTTGAATATTTTTATTTTATTTTTGATGTGTGTGTGTGTATGCATGTATGAGTGTGTGTGTGTACATTGGAACACATGAAGACTGCATTGCACACTGACAAGTATAATAAATAATTAAACAATCCTATTATAATTGTGCTTGTCTCTCCATTCGTGAATTCACATGACCATTACACTCTACCAATACCTCATGAATATGGACTGTTTTGATTTGATGACATGGAAAGATAGGAAAAAGACTACTTGGTTTCAATGAGAAAATGAATGAAAGAAAAAAGGGAAGATAGAAGTAGAAAGAGAGAATCAGATTAAGCTGATAAGAACAGATACTACACTTTGATCTTAGTGAAAAGGCCTAGAAGATGAAAGAAAGAAGGAAAGATAGAAGTGGAGAGAAAGAATCAGATTAAGCTGATAAGAACAGATACTACACTTTGATCTTAGTGAAAAGGCCTAGAAGATGAAAGAAAGAAGGAAAGATAGAAGTGGAGAGAAAGAATCAGATTAAGCTGATAAGAACAGATACTACACTTTGATCTTAGTGAAAAGGCCTAGAAGATGAAAGAAAGAAGGAAAGATAGAAGTGAAGAGAGAGAATCAGATTAAGCTGATAAGAACAGATACTACACTTTGATCTTAGTGAAAAGGCCTAGAAGATGAAAGAAAGAAGGAAAGATAGAAGTGAAGAGAGAGAATCAGATTAAGCTGATAAGAACAGATACTACACTTTGATCTTAGCCAAAAGCCCGAGAATTGTTGACAACAGCAATAAATGTGCTATTTTTCAAGTGCACACTATCGAATGATGGAAACCAAGTAAAGTAATCGCCAAAAATCCAGTTACTATAAATAAAATAACATCGGCTAATGAATTATTTGAAAAAATGAAAATCATATAATGATGCAAATAGCATAAAACAGAAGCCAATAACTTTTTAAAGAATTACTGGATTCATTTTTAATCTGACATTTTTTTGCTTCAAACTATTATTATAGCAGACCCTTTACATTTGGAATAGGCTTACGGCCATATCATGTTGAAACACTGATTCCTGTATGATAACCAAAGTTAAGCAATGTTGAGCCCAGTCAGTACCTAGATGGGTGCCCACTTGGGTATATCAGGTGCTGTAAACATGGATGTGCAGGTGGTATAATGGATAATGGCTTGTAATTGTTAATCAGAGAGCTGAATTCCAATTCCAGTTGGATTTGTTATTTTTACATATGCACAAATAACCTTGGGAAAGGCATAAATTCACCTTCTCCTCAGCTATGGGTTAATTAGTAAGTCTTGTATCACTAAATCATTATTCTCTCAAAAAACAAAAATTACTACAATTTAAAAATATTTTCTGGTTTTGAATACCCTGTAAAGTGTTGATAAGCTGTAAAAAATGAATCACTACACTTGAAATAGATCTTCCTTTTTATTTATTAAACAATGTGTAATACCTCTCTACCAACAACACAATAACTACAAACTAGATATAAAATTATAAGAAACATAATAGATTGATACGTACTGCATCACTGTTTGACAGCATACAAAAGAGTCCTCCAAAGGATTATGTAAAGTAATTTGTTTTATTATATAAGAAATAAGTAACACAATTGAACATATCATACATCAAGATATAGCTATACACCACAGGTTCACAACCCTTCTTCTCAACATAGTCACCAACTGTTTTATTGGCCGTTTTCCACCTGTGAATGAAGGTATGATGCCCAGTTGGCTGCTGGTGTAGCCAATTCCTTAAAGCAGTTTTCACTTCTTCATCACCACATGACTTAGAACTTAGAATGATTTTCATATATTTGGTCCAATGAATGAGGCACTGAAGGGTAAATGTTATGGCATTGATGAAAAAGTGCATATTATTTTCCTTTCAATATGTATGATTAGCCATTACCTTATTGATAGATAGGTAGATAGGAACAGACTGAAATAGAGATATAGGAACAGATTGATATATATATATATATATATATATATATATATAGAGAGAGAGAGAGAGAGAGAGAGAGAGAGATAGATAGGAATATATATATGTATATAGATAGATAGATAGATAAAACAGACTGAGATAGATAGATAAATAGGAAAGGAATGACATTATATATATATATATATATATATATATATATATATATATATATATATATATATATATATATATATATATATATATATATATATATATATATATATATATATGTATATATATATATATATATATATATATATATATATATATATATATAAATGCTTAGATAGGAACAGACTGAAATAGATATGAACAGAATGAAATGGATAGATAGTTAAATAGATAGGAACAGACTGAGATAAGTAGATAACCAGCTTGATAGTTAATGGCTTATCTAGAAAATTCGTTGATTATCTATTTTTCCACATATTCTTTTCCTTTCAATATGTATGATTCACAATAACATTATAGATTATCCATAGATAGATAGATATGAATGAACTGAGATAGATAAATTATAATACATTGATACATACTGCATCACTGTTTGACAGCATACAAGAGAGCCCTGCAAAGGATTATATGAGGGTGAGTCAAAAAGTAATGCAATTTATTTTATTATATAAGAAATAAGCAACACAACCAAACATATCATACATCAACAGATAAGAACAGACTGAGATAGATAGATAGATAGATAAATAGGAAAGGAACAGACTGAGATAGATAGATAGATAGATAGATAGATAGATAGATAGATAGATAGATAGATAGATAGATAGATAGATAAGGAAAGGAACAGACTGAGATAGATAGATAGATAGATAGATAGATAGATAGATAGGAAAGGAATTGGGTATATCAGGTGCTGTAAGCATGGATGTGCAGGTGGTATAATGGATAATGGCTTGTAATTGTTAATCAGAGAGCTGAATTCCAATTCCAGTTGGATTTGTTATTTTTACATATGCACAAATAATGAATCACTACACTTGATCACAGGTTCACATTCCTACTTTTCAACATAGTCACCACCTTTTTTATTGGCAGTGTTCCACCTATGAATGAGGGCATGTATCTCAGCTAGCTGCTGATGTAGCCAATTCCTTACAGCAGATTTTACTTCTTCATCAAAGTCTGCTCAAAATCTAAAAATCTTTTACATAATTAGGATTGCCAAGTTATAGTCAAGACACAAATAAAAGAATATGTAAATAGTAATTTTTAATTTAATTCCTTTAGATACACAATATTATGACATTGTTTTTATCTCCAAAATTCAAGAAAGGACAAGACCTGAAAGAGCTAAAAAAAGAACTGTAAGTTCCAAGAAGGAACAGTTGGCCAATGATACATCAAAAATTAAAACTTTAAAATACCAATGCTTTTATTGAATTCACATGGTCACTTGGAGAAAATCTCCAATAATAAAAATTCAAACAAAATATACATTCATTACACTTTCACTATGTTATCACTTGACTTAACATGACATTCATCTGATAATAGTGCAATTAAATCATATCACAAAACATCAAAACCCAGTATCAATAAAATGTAATTCAATTTAAGAATGAACATAGTAAATGTATTTCATAACTAACAATAAAACGTCATGACAAACTGGTACTTGGAGATGCAATACTTGAAAAACATGACACTCACCGACGTGTGAAGACAAGACACTCATAAACTATCAAAGAGAACAAAAGATAAAATTCTTTGATAATTATGTATTAAAATTTAAAGCATGCGGAAGACATAATTTATACTAAAATTCTCTCTGGTAACAAGAATCATAAAAAAATTAAATAAAAATTCTTAAAGAGAGCACATTCACTGCTAATCAACTAAAAGCTATATATATATATATATATATATATATATATATATATATATATATATATATATATATATAATAAATTAACTAGTTTAAAATATGGTTTTTTTCACTACACAGTAATTACCATGTTTCAAAAATGGAAGCTAAAAAAGCTTCAAATTTAATTTTGTAATTAAATTAAAAACATTAGTTCCATTTCATCCTCAAGCAAATATATATATATATATATATATATATATATATATATATGATTGCCATGAAAAGACAAAATTTATATTTATTAACACTCATGATGATAATAGTTAAACAATTAAACAATTTAAAAGATAAAACTGAAAAACAAGCTAGCTAACTGGTTTTGAACCTTCCTCAACAGAGCTAAATCGAGATTAATAAATATAGAATTATCACTAAAAAGAGATGAACACTATATATTGGGGAAAAAAATTATTGCTGAGATGGAAATTAGTTTTGGTGAGAATGCTAAGCAGCACAACATGCCGTTTTCAAATTTCTGGTGGAGTGAACTGCATAATGGTGCTCTTTTTCTCACAGACGATGCCCAACTGACCCTACTATACTGTGCAGGCAACAAGATCAAAAACAAACAATGTGTGTGCACAAAATTAAAAGTATAAAATGGTGACAATTTGCCCATTGCACCCTGTATGTCAATAAATTATACAAGAGTATTGTATTATATTTGAAATTGGTCTATTAAAATATAATTTACTTTTAAGAAATTAAATTTTTAAAAGAAATAATGATTTGAGTCTTAATATCTTTTTCTTTGTCTCTCTTTTTTCCAGGCTTATCTTGAAGATTTTTACAATTTCTGCAAAGAACCGGGAGGTGCAACTTCTGAAGTGATGTGCGAAGCTTTAGCCGTAAGTGATTGTCTCAAAATACTCACAACAAAAATTGTTTCCTTGTTGTTAGGAAAGATGCAAAACACTGTCATGATTTTTCAGAAACTTAGTGTCTTTTTCCTGTAAATATAATTGTTATGAGTTATAATATTAAAGGTTTTTAGTTTCTGAACATTGATTGCAAAATATAATATATTTTCTACATATAATAGTGAAATGGTTTGTTCTTATTTCTTAACATAATATTTGTCTTTCATCTTGTAACTATGTGAGCATGCAGCAGGCTCTTTCTCAACTTAGAGGGCATAGTGACAAGAATTGAAATGCAACATATGGTAATCAGTGGCCAGTCAATAGAGAGTTTGGGTGAGGGTTGCATTGTATGTTTACACCCAAATTACACTATTACTCTGTCTCTTTATATATATATATATATATATATATATATATATATATATATGACCACCATAAAAAGACAAAATTTATATTTATTAACACTCATGATGATAATAGTTAAAAGATAAAACTGAAAAACAAGCTAGCTAACTGGTTTTGAACCTTGCTCAACAGAGCTAAATTGAGATTAATAAACATAGAATTATCACTAAAAAGAGATAAACAATATGTATTGGGGAGAAGAAAAAAAATATTGCTTAGATAGAAATTAGTTGGAGGCTGTTGTATCGGAAACCTACCACCCCTCTTGAAGATGAACTTGTCTGCGTCTGTGAACAAAGACTTTAAATAGTGGCATGTCAGTTAACATGGGGGGAAGACAGATAGACAGAGAAGTTCTTAGCTGAGCTAGTTATTGACTACTCAGGCGATTTCTGTACCTTTTTACCAACCTATTAAAACCCTTTTTATTGTTACCTGTTATTTGGCGTTTGTCTCTACTAACCCCAAATCAACATCATAACAGAGGCCCAATACGAAATCCTTCTGTTTGCACAGAGAAGGTTTCAAAGACAAAATATAAATGGCCTCCAACACATTTAAGTGGTAATTCGAGTGGGATGTGCTAAGAATAGTAAATGTGTCCACATTGGAATTAGCGGCACAATTATGGCTATTTATTAGGTGTTCTGTGATGGAAGACCCATATGTATTGGTCATAATGTCTGAAGGAGTGTACTTAAGATTGTAGATCTTTGTTGAGACGTGTTGCTTTATTCTGACATCCAGCCTTTGAGTCGTCCTCCCTATGTAGTGTGAACCACAACTACATTTAAATGAATAAATCAAGGAAATGTTATCATATGGAGGGAGAACGTCTTTCTGCATGGATGGAAGGACAGGCTTGGCAGAAAAGACTACACAAGTGTTAGCAGCAAAGTAACAATGTCGAACCACCAAAGAAACCTGCTTAGCATATGTATCACTGATATTACCCAGCCAAGGAAGGCACAGGTACACAGAACATCTTTGTAGTGTAGCTAGTTTAACTTTATTGAATTCAGCAATTTTGTTCTTAATTATTGATTGAACAATACCCAAAGGATAGGCATTGTTACAAAGAGTAGTGGTAATAAATTTGAGTTCATTAGCCAATTTGGTTTTAGAGCGGATCATTAAAGCCCTATGAGTAAGGGTTTTAATTAAAATAATGTTGTGTTTTGCAGCACAAAAAGTGTCCCAACAGGTATACAAACTGGTAAATGTCAGTTTATGATAAACAGATGTAAGAAAACCTGACAATGATCTGTTAACAAAAACATCAAGAAAGGGAAGAGAAGAATCAATTTAAATTTTAAAGCTGGATGCATATTATTCAGGGACTAAAGAAAATGGTCAGCTTCAATCTTGTTATAGAAGAGACAAAAAGTGTTATCAACATAACAGAAGTAAACATCAGGTTTATTAGATTTAGATAACACACTCTCTTCATGGAATCCAACAAAGATGTTTGCTAAAATGGGTTCCAAAGGAGAACCCATTGAAACACCATCAATTTTCCTATATATGATGCCATATGTCATCAGTTCGACAAAAACATCCTCAGGAATAACAAGAGGGGACAACTGACTACAATATAGGGCATCAGCACATATATCAATAGTTTCAGCAAGAAGGACACTGTTAAATAGACTGAAAATATCATAGGAACACATAAATTTATCTGTTGATGAATAATGCTGGATAAAGTTTGAAAATTGAAACAAACCTTTAATACAGGATTTATTATACTGTTCTAAAACTGGCTGTAATATGGTGGTGTGCCATTTAGCCATGCCATATTGGGAAGACCCTGCCATGGCAGAATAGGCCTCAATGGAACCCCAACTTTATGTGTTTTGGGTAGACCATAGAGATAGAGATGAATAGAACCCAAAGGTCTAGATTGGAAATGTCAGTGGGCAATTTCCCACTTGACTAGATGTTTTTGGAACTGAGCCTCAATAGATAATGTAGAATCAAATTTATCTATTGGGCCTAACTGGATAAATTTAGAAGAATCCCCAAGAATAGTCATCTTGTTAACGTAATCTTGATAATCAAGATTGACAAGACCAGAGCCTTTATCAGATTTCATAATTACCAAAGACATATATATATATATATATATATATATATATATATATATATATATATATATAGTAAAGGTAAAATAAAATCCATGGGTATATAATCCAAGTGGGTCCTAGTAATATAAAAATGTTAAAATTGATCCACAAATGAGAGCGTGATGTATTTTATTTATACAGAGCAATATGATAAAGAAAAAAAAAATCAAGAAAAATCTTTTTTACCTCATGTAGGGAAATTTATATATATATATATATATATATATATATAGAGAGAGAGAGAGAGAGGGGGGAGAACAAAAGCATTGCTTTTGGCACAAGGCTGAAGGGAGAGGCAGGAAAGATTTGTTAGTTAGCTAGTTTGATTTACAACCTATCCATTCTAACAATTGACACAAGCAACATAGACTCATCCTTCATCATTTGGTTCAAACATCCACCAAAATACTGTGTTTTCACAGTGGACCTAATAATACATCCATGACATCTATATAATTATAATTTTAATAAGATATATATTTGTGGGTTACCTCACTTGCCTCCACCAAATTTACCCATTGGGTGGCACTGTTTAAGTCTATAAAAAGCAATCATTTCCTTCTCTTTCTCCTTTCACTTCTTGCTCTAAGATGTAGTAGCTCATAGATGAGAATGCCTGCTGGAGTGCATTCACTATCATGGTCCACTAACTATTGAACTACATGCACAATTATACATGTGTATCACACACGTATGTTACACACACATGCACACATACAAACAAGCATGCTCTTATAACTAGTTTTAATGCATTTTCTTTGATTTCAATTGTGTGCACATGTAATTCCTTTTGTTAATAACATGCATAAATTGTTGTTCGCTTTAAATTCAATGTTTTCTGTTTCTTATTTTTACTCAGGTTCACATGAAACCGCCAATATTGTTTGCAGGCAAATATACCAAGAGCATTAAACATTTACTAAAAAATGTCCAGACCTTGTATCAAAAGTGTTGATTTCCGCAACAATATATAACTTATTCAAAGGTATAGACATTTTGTGTCTATTGAGTTTGTCTATCTTCCTCTCCAAATTGTAAACAAATCCCAAATGCAGAAAAAAGGATTTAAAATTTTAATTCTTTTTCTGGATCTGGGATTTGTTCTATTAAATTTAAATATAACGATGCACTGTGTTAGGACTATTACTGTTTTTCACTGAAAATTTTGCTGAAATCATTTTGTGTTGAAAATGATTTTTTGTTTTTCATGGTTTTTTATAAAACACAGTGGTGCAGAAATAAAAATGAGGTATTGTTGAGCTTGTCATGATATAAGTAACCTACATACTGAGTTTGAACAAAAAAAGTTGAATTTATCGATTTTTGATCGGCTTTGTCAATTATTGATTTTTTAAAAATGATTGATTTTTATGTTAAGAAACTATCACTTACATTGTACAATGTATGTACCAAGTTTGGTCAAAATTGATTGGATGGATCTCAAGTGAAAAGATATGACACAGACAGACAGACAGACAGACACAGACATCCTCTGTTTTATATATATATATAAAATATCTGAAACACTGACCTTTCTGCAACCACAGTTTCTTTCAAAATGGTTGCAGGAAGGAAGGTCAATGTTTCGGATATTTTATATCTTAGCTTGTCCAACATTTTCATTTTAGTGTTTCTTTTGTCGAATATAATTTATAATTATATATATATATATATATAAAAATCATGACCTAACATGCACAAGTGAAATATTTGCGTGGTCGTCTATAATGATCAATTAGCTTGTAGGCGGCTGATGAAGACAGGGTATCGCACGTTCTAACACATGTTGTATTTTTAAAAAAAAAATATATATATGTATGTATGCACATTGATACAGATACACAAACATATATATATATATATAAAAATTCATGAATTATTCACACAAAAACAAATGCAAAGGTTAATGATTTAATTGGTGAGAAATCCATCGTCGCAAACAATTCAAATAATATACAAAAACCTCCGAATTGTTTGCGACGATGGATTTCTCACCAATTAAATCAATTCCATCCGTAATTAAATTTTCCTGAACGCATTTGCCATTATTGATGCGTTCGTAAAAATCGTTATATATATATATATATATATATTACGATAAACGTGCAATCAATTTACAAATTCATGAATATATATGTATGTATGTATATATAAATGGTAGTACTCGTTTGGAAAAACCTTGGATAGCTCAACTTGCAGTAGAGCAAATTGGTACTCAAGGAAAAATGGGGAATAAAAAAAGAAAGAACCAAGAACATTAAAACAAGGCGAAAACAATTGTCAAGTGTTTAAGCTCCAAGTTCAAAGAAAAAAAAAAACAAAATGAGTAAAAAGACAACTATGTTAATTGCTTAATACACTAAGTAGAGCAATAACCTAAGATAATCCTAAGGAGCCAGGCAAACCTACCTATGTATATATATTAAAAAGCTGGCATTTATGTTGATTAATTTTAATGATTGACTTTTCCAAGTTACAAATAATCCTTCTCAGACAAGAGAAAATTCAGTCAGAAAATGGCCAAACTTCATTTCAGAAGAAAAGTACAGGAATTAAACAAACTCAGTCTGATGAAGTCCTAAAGGATCAAACATGTTGCGCAAAAAGTTTTTCCACTTTGTCATACATCTTTCCCACAAAATTGTCCTTGGTATCTAAAAATTATATATTGTTATTATATATATATATATATATATATATATATATATATATATATATATATATATTTTTGCATATTCACATGCATATATTCTATGCACGCAAATATACAAGAATGTACTGAATAGTTTTGGGCCGAACCCACTTCTTAAAATATGATTAAATGACCAAATATCAGAAGTTTTTGAGAATCTGTTCTAGGTTGAGCTAGATAGGGGAAAGAAAGAAAGGAAAGGAGACAAAAAGTAGGAGGCAGAGAAAAAAGAAAGGAATGAATAAGAAAGAAATAAAAGAAAGAAAGAGGAAAGAAAAGAAAAAGAAATACAAAGAAAAAAGTGAGGGACAGAGAAAGAAAAGAAAAGGAAGAAAAGAAAAAAGAAAAAGAAGTACAAAGAAGAAAGTGAGGGACAGAGAAAGAAAAGAAAAGGAAGAGAAGAAAAAAGAAAAAGAAGTACAAAGAAGAAAGTGAGGGACAGAGAAAGAAAAGAAAAGGAAGAAAAGAAAAAAGAAAAAGAAGTACAAAGAAGAAAGTGAGGGACAGAGAAAGAAAAGAAAAGGAAGAAAAGAAAAAAGAAAAAGAAGTACAAAGAAGAAAGTGAGCGACAGAGAAAGAAAGGAAATAAAGAATAAAGTGAAAGACAAAAAAGAAAGGAAGAAATAAATAAGAAAGAAAAACTGAAATTGAAAAATAAGAGGAAGAAAGAGAAAGCTATGAAAAAGAGAGAGAGAGAGAGAGAGAGGTGAGTTAAAATGAGCATTAGGGAGAGAGAGAGAGAAAGGGTGGGAGAAAGAAACTGAGAGTGTGTGAGAAAGCTTTGTTCTGCTGAAATTGTTTTTTTACTATACGTCAAAGAAAATATGACTCAACTTTTCTGGCCTTGATGTTCACTGGAACCTGAAGAACTTCTTAGGTTAAAACCAGTCAAACTATTTATTGCAGTATAGAAAATTTATGACAGCAATCTTATTATTTTCTTACATAATCTTCACATTCAAAAGTTTATGAAACAGTTCGGCTTTCTTTCTAAGAAAATATTTATTGAAGCAAAAATCTTTTCAGTTACAACCAGCAATACAACATGCACTGCACAATTAAATATCATACCTAAAAATCTCTTTAACACTTAAACGACGGGCACTATCAGTTGATATTTCTTTGGAGATCAGTGGATATCATCAATTTATGATTAAAATCATTTCCCAATTACATCATTTGAGTCTAAATGATGACTAATGTCTTACAGCCATATCACCAGGTCTTGCATGATGACAAAACTTAATTTTTGTCTGAATTTCTGGAACAAGGAATTATTCACACTATTTATAATCAGACTATTGACGTCATCTTTGTTGTTGTTATTGCAACGTTTCGACCGTTGTGCCCTCTGGCCTTCCTCAGGTGTATATCAATCTGGTAACCTACAGGGAATTTTGAACTAAACCCTTTATTTAATCTACAGGGATAGACTTCTCCTTACTCTTCTAAGGATATTGTCTAAAATTTGAACTCACAACCAATATGTCACTAAATTCACTAACCGGTGCTTTTATCCACTAGGCCATTGCTGCACAAGACACCAAACTTATGCAACATTGAGTCTGGTCAGTATCTAGATGTGTAGCCACCTGGGAATAACAGGTGCTGTAAGCATGGATGTGCAGGTTGTATCATCTACAATGGCTCAAAATTTGAAATCAGTCGAATTCCAGTTGGGTTTGTTATATTTATGCAGAAATACCCTTGGGAAAGGTATAAATTCACTTCTCTCCCCAGACATGGGTTAATTAGTAGAGCTTGCATCAGTAAATTCTTATTGTCTCAAAAAAAATTCTTACAATCTAAAGATCTTTTCTGGCTTTAAATAATCTGCAAAAAGCTGATAAGCCATAAAAAAATCAATTAATATAGTACAAATGAACTTTGATTATCTCAGTAGTAGATTGGTATGCATCCCGAGTTCCAGAACTGTATCAGTTCTTTGTTTGTCAGGGCCCATAATTAATAAAGTAAGAATTATACCTGTCTTGAAAGGTTCTCCCAAACTGTGCGGTGTTGATAGCCAGCCTTAGTCCAAAGTCAATTCCTTTAAAAATTTTTACTTCGGGATTTTGTTTAAACTCATAACCTCGGATTTTTGCTGTGTTGTTCAGGAAATATTCCTGAGAGAGGTCAATTTTGGTTGCTGTTCCTGGGTTTGGAGCATTAAATTTGTGATCTGTGTCCCAAGAGAAGTCATTGGTTGAAATGTTGTATCTGAAATGATTAAAACAACATAGTAATAAAAAAAATAGTGAATCAAAAAATACAAACTATAAGCAAAATATCTATCTATATTTCTGAGATGAGGTATTGTAACTATTTACATTATTTACATTGTTTGGACTATTGTTTTCATCTTTATTGTCAAATTTGAAATGTTTTGGCCATTGTATGCTCCAGCCTTCTTCAGGCGATATACATTGGAATTACAAACTGATTACTTTATTGTGTTCAACTCAACTCTCTGTGACCAGGTACTAAAGTCACAACATGTTGATCACTGGATTATTTCAACCGATGCATTTATCCATTGGATAAAAGTGTTGGTTGAAATAATCCTGCAACTTGACCCAAAAAGTTGTCAGTTCAATAACTGACCACAGGAAAAGTGAACAAAAACTTGGGGAATTGAGTTACTGAAGGGAAATAACTGAAACTGAGATATCCAGAAAAGGCATGGCATGTGGAACTAGAACAATCTACCTTGGTGGATGAAATAAAGGGTTCGGTTCAAAATTCTAACATATATCACCTGCAGAAAGCTGGAGCATACAACAACCAAAACATTGTGAATATGACAATAAAAATGAGGACAATAGTCTGAACAATATATATAGTGTAAATAATAATTAAAATGAGCACAAATACACAAGTAAACTCATCCTGTATTGTGCAAATGAATGCAAACGCCACCAAACAATCAGCCTAATAAGCCACATGACAAAACTCATCATCAGTATTCTGATGAATAGGGTGTACAGCAGAATCAGGCCAGAGATAGGACAAGAACAGTGCATGTTCGTTAAGGACACTGACACAAAATATTCATGCTCAGAATGTTATCAGAAAGAGCAATGCAAATGCAGAAGGACGTGCACCTATGCTTTATAGACTATGCAAAAGTGTTCAACAAAGTATGCCACAAAGATACGTTAGAGCTGCTCAGCAACCTTGATATATTCAGGAAAGACATTAGAATAATCAAAAACCTCTACTGGCAGCAAACCGCCGGCATAAAAATAAAAAATAAGTTCAGCAGATATACAAATATAGAAAGGGGTGTAAGGCAAGGATGTGTCTTCTCACCGGACATATTGAACCTATACAATGAGGCAATTCTGACAGCAATGGAAATCCTACCAGTATTCCTCATTGGCAGCCATAATCTTAACAACATAAGATACACAGATGACACAGTGCTGATAGCAGACATCGAAAGGCAATTACAAAATCTCCTACAGAAGTTAGTGAAGGAGAGTGAGAAGAAGAAACTAAGGATAAAGTAGACAGAAAAAAAATCAGTAAAAAGATGAGCCTGAAATGTGATTTACAGGTTGGGGACACTAAAATCAAACAGGTGCAAAAATTTAACTATCTGGGAAGTGTTCTGACAGAGGATGAAAAGTGTGATGCTGATGGCCAAAGATGCATTCCAAAAGCTAAGCAGAGTATTATGCAACAGGAGGATTTCTTTGGTAACAAAGAAAAGAGTATTGAACAGCTGCATGATATCTTTCCTCCTTTATGGCAGTGAATATTGGATGGTCTCCTCAAAGATGAAGAAGAGAATCAAGGCAACAGAGGCATGGTTCTACAGAAGGATGCTAAGGATACCATGGATTGAACAGGTGAGCAATGGTGAGGTTGCAAACAAGGAGGAAGTTTATACTTAACATCGGGAAGAAGCAGCTGAAATTTCTGGGATATGGAATGAGAAAGGTGGGCTTGGAGGATCTGGTACTCACAGGTCGAATAGAGGGAAAGAGAGACAAGGGAAAGCAATGCGTAACATACCTAGTGGGCTTAAGCAAGTGAATGACAGAACAGGGTTTGGGAGAAGTAGCAAAAGGACAACACATATTGAGAACTATCAGGGATGGGAGAAGTGGAGAGCTATGATCATGTACATCCTGAAGGCACATGGCACATAAAAAAAGAAGATCCTCACTTTAAATTTGCATTTAGAAAGCATCATTTTAAACTGACACCATGAGGATACAGGGTAAATTCATTTGTCCACTAGTGGCTGTTTTTCTTATATTATTATTACTATTATTCTTATTAGAATGACTTGTGAAAATTTCAGTTTTCCTGCTTTAATTTTCTCATGAATTTTAATTTTTGAGTTAATTATTGAAAAAGCTCATGAAAAGTTCTATGACAATAAAATATCTCTAGAAATTCCCCTAACACATCAGTAAATATTTGAGTTTAACAACTTCAACAAAATATTGCTGTTGGGGGAGACAGTTCATTCACTGACCATTTAAACATTACAATTATGTCTAGCCATTTCAACTGTAAAATGATGAGACCTAGCTGCCAATCTAGTACCATGGTTGAATTCATAAAGTTGAGGCACCAAAGAGGAAAGCTCATCAGAACAATTACCGTGAAAATATTTATAGAAGAGGTACCGGGAAGCTGCATTATGACAGTAAGAAAGTTGCATTATCAATTAGGCTACAAAACCAACTCTCCTAGAAGTCATTTAAATTTGTACATTTAGCTTATTTTCTCTGAATGAGATAATAACTCACCATGTTTTGGCCAATTGCAGATTGGTGGAGTTATTTAATCTAAAGTTAGTGTGGATGGTGATTGGCTCTGAATAGTTAATCTGCCTTTTAACAGTTCTTGTTTTTTTTTTCTTTTTTTTTCTGGGGTTACATTTACGCACCTCAGCAGACCAGGGTCTATTGGGCTAATCAGTTTAGTTGCCGACCACTCAGCATTAAATATAATTTGTTTTAATTAAACAAGCAAAAAAAAGACAGATAACTTGATTAGAAAGCATTATTTCTGTAGTAAACAAGACTGTCCTTATTTAAACTATGTACATTCAGACTATTGGTTGTTGTTGTTATTACAATGTTTTAGCTGTTGTGGCTGCCAGCCTTCATCTGGTGTATATTGATCTGGGTAACCTGCAGTGGATTCTGAACTGAACCCTTTATTTAATCTATCAGGGTAGACTGTTCTCATTCCACTGCTTATGTCTAGGGATATTGCCTAGTTCTTATTTTTATTTAGTACTGTTCAGTTATTTCTCGACTGTTTCTGCTGAGTGAAAGTATACTAAAGTTTCAGTTCAGAACTCTCTGATATGTTACTGATATGTCCCGGAAAGGGATATAATTGAATGAAGTAGCTAAGTGGTTTTGGCTACTATAACCAATTAGAATACGGTAGCAGTAATCGACTGGTACACATCGGAGTCGCAGGTAAGAAGTGTAGATCAATGGTGTAGTTCAATAGGCATCACTATAGATTTAGCTCTCAGACTAAGATTCTGACTCTCCTACATGTCCTTAGATATTTATGACGGACACCAGCCAATCATATTCCAGTGAGGGGGAACACAGGTGTACGCATAATTCATTATATCAGTTATCCAGATTGATAGACAGTTGAGAAAGGCTGTGGGCTCAGCAGTTGAAATATTGTGATAAGATTAGGACAATAGTCCAAATATAAATCGTGTAAATAATAATAACGCTTCATTCTAGAGATTCAAACAAAAAAAAGACTTTCCTTTTGTTGGTTCACATGAAGATATACATTTGGCTGAAGGGATTTTATTCTTTTTAACAATATCTAGTGTTATAAACAAATTAGACAATATAGAGGAACATAGGGTTTTTTTTACCTGATCCTAAAAACACAATTATCTCCTGGAATTTCAGGGAGAGTCCAATTATAACGGATAGCATTACCACTGGGACCATTCCCTAAGTAGTTATCTTCACTGTATTCATTTTCCCGACATTCAGGAGGTGGCAATCCATGAGCTGGAAATTCTTTCCATATGGCTTTTTTGCAATTTGTAGATTTTTCAGGAAAGCAGAATTTCTAAAAAGAAAAAAAAAATCAAATAAATGAATAAAACAATAAATGAATAAAAAATAAATAAAAAATAAAAAGAATAAAAACAAATAAAAAATAAATGAAAACAAAAAATAAATAAATTAAATTAAACAAATAAAAGCAAAAAAACGTAAATTAATAAAAATAAGTAAATAAAAATGAAATTGATAAAAAGAAATAAAAAATAAAATAGAATTTTCTATGTGTTTTGTCCTGTTAGTATGTGGGTGATTGTGGCTCTTCCTGTCCTGTGTAGACCTTAGTAAGTATTACCTTTTTGCTATACTTTCTAATCCCTGTTCTACCGACCATTTACACAAGCTCATTAGGTAGGCTATGCACTATTTTCCTCTATCTCTCTTGCTTTCAAACTGTCTTATGAGTATCAAATTTTGTAGGCCCTCTTTCCTTGTTACGTGCCCCAGAAATTTATAATGTGTCTCCTTGATGCTATGTATAAGTGTCCTTTATGCTTCCATTTTCTCTAAATTTATAATGTGTCTCCTTGATGCTATGTATAAGTGTCCTTTATGCTTCCATTTTCTCTAAATTTATAATGTGTCTCCTTGATGCTATATATAAGTGTCCTTTATGCTTCCATTTTCTCTAAATTTATAATGTGTCTCCTTGATGCTATGTATAAGTGTCCTTTATGCTTCCATTTTCTCTAAATTTATAATGTGTCTCCTTGATGCTATGTATAAGTGTCCTTTATGCTTCCATTTTCTCTAAAACTTTGTTGTTGCTCACATGTTCAGTCCATGATATTCTCAGTATCCTTCTGTAGAACCACATTTCAAGTTCTTTATCTGTGAGGAAAACCTTCAGCATTAACTGCCATATAGGTAAACCAGTATCTGTCTATATTTCTGAGTTGAGTTATCATGTACACTATTTACATTATTTGGACTATTGTTCTCCACTGCTTTAACCATGGTACAGTGGATAAAGGTGTTAGTTAGATCCAGTGACAGGACCCAAAGAGTGTGAGTTCAATACCTGGTTAAGGCAGTAGAGAACTTTCAGAAGGAATTAACAGGTGATAACTGACATCCATTACACACAGCATGTGGAACTAGAACAGTCTACCCCAGAGAGTGCAATAAAGGGTTCAGTTCTATATTCCAACCACCTGAAGAAGGCCAGAGTGTACAACGGCCGAAACGTTGTGATAAACATGGTGACAAACATGATGACAATAGTCCAAATAAATAATGTAGGTAAACTGGTATTGCATGATAGTTGATTATGTGAACATTGTTTAAAAATAATTGTTTGAAAACAATTATTCGAAAAACATTTATTTGAATTGAAAATTGCTTGAATAAAAATTAATTGAAAGGAGAATTATAAAAAAGTGCAAAATTCTTTACTGCAATAAAAATATAAAAATTAAAAGAGGAAATACACGAATGATAATTATTCGAAATATAAATATCACTAATAAAACAATTTAGTAAGAAAAAATTCCTTATAACCTTAAGTTATATGACACTGCTCGCAAATAGTCAACTACTGAAGAGTACTCGTTAAAAGATGCCACAAGTTTTTTTAAGTTTTCCATTTGTGTCATGGTATTTCTTGGCGCTTTTGATATTTTGGCAATTTGCTCTTTTGCAATATGAATTTCTTGTGAATCCTGTTCTCATTTAAGAGCATCTAAGAATTTCCATATTGTGGTATGATGGGATGACACTGATTGCAAAAAACCCCTACACCATCCTTAAAGTGCATTATTAGTTCTAGCTAAATCAGCATTGACTCTTTCAAAGTAAGACAACATACGTATTTCAAACATTGGTATTTTGAATAATCATCACCTATACATATATAAAGGGCAGTTGTCTGTACATGTATGTGTGTGTTCGGCTAAAACTAAAAAACTACAATAGTTATAACAAAGTAAATATGTATACAGACTCATAATTGCCCAAGGTAGCTTTTAATAAAATCATTATCATTGTATAATTTGTATTTATGAAGATATTTTTAAATTAGAATGCATTAGAAATTCTCAGAATTAAAAAGTAAAAACAAATGATAAGAATTCTTATTCTTGAATCGGATTGCTGTTCGTTTTTAATTTTTTTTATTCTGCTAAATGCTATCCAAGTATGTACTTTTAAAATATCTATACCCTTGAATTTATTTTGACACCTATATTAAATAAATGTGTAAATGATTTCCTTATTTTCTAATATCTAAAAGCTGTATATGTTAAATTTTTATCTTTTTTTATATGCATTGAGCACTTCCCTTGTTTAATTCAACTCTGATCATAACTTCTTTATATATATATATATATATATATATATATATATATATATATATATATATATATGGTGTGATGAGTAAATTTTATCATTTTATATTTTTAATTTCACGCACATGTGTTGTTTGATTTTGATTTTGTTTACTGCTCAGTATAATAGGGTCAGTTGGGCACTGTGAGAAAAAGAGCACCATGGTGCTTTTCTCTTTAACAGAAGTTTGGAAATGGCATGTTGTATTGCTTGGCATTAACACTAGAATATTTGGGTGTCAATCTGAGGACAGTGCAGAGTATTCGGATAGAGTTGGATGAATCTAATGATGATTACAAAGATACAGCAGCTTAGAAAACTCACTCTAATCATTCTGATAAGAAAAGAACTCTTGAATTTTTTGGTGTAGACCTCAGGCTCAAGACAAAGACCTACATCAAGTGCCTTGAGGAGGTTGTGCTACCCTAGGTAAAGAGGGTGGCTGCTGGAAGACTCTTTATTATTTCAAGATATTTTTCTGTAATTTTGTTAATCTGTTAAAATAAGATGTAAAGTGTAATTTTAATTTTTGTGTAATTTAGATGACAATATATTCACCGCACCTAGAATATATATACATATATATATATGAAGAAAAATATATACGGAAAAAACAAAACAAAAATCCTTATGTACAATTATGCTGTTTTAATGTTAATATGTCAACGTCGAACGTTTCGGTCTAATAAACCATCTTCAGGACATATTCATAAATATAACATTATTAATACAGCATGACAAAGACGATGTACATAAGAACAAGACTTATCCAAACAAATAACTGAAAGTTTTATAAGATCAGCGCTCCGTTTAAAACATGGTCACATTGTCGTCACGTGGGTGACGCTGTGAAAACGTATTCCTAAAATTTTGAGTATTTTGAATGAAAAATGAAAAGAATTCTATTTTGAACTAAAATTTATATGTACTCTTTGTCATGTTGTATTGATAATGTTATATTTATGAATATGTCCTGAAGATGGTTTATTAGACTGAAACGTCCGACGTTGACATATTAACATTAAAACAGCATAATTGTATATAAGGATTTTTGTTTTGTTTTTTCCGTATATATTTTTCTTCATACTGTTGGATCTATATCCATATATTTGCTTACATATATATATATATATATATATATATATATATATATATAATTATTCACACAAAACTAATGCAAAGGTTAATGATTTAAATGGCGAGACATCCATCATCGCAAACAATTCAAATAGTATACAAAAACCTCCAGATCCGTTATGAATGAATTGATCCTTGTTTATATAAATTTCTGCCGTATTAGTTGTTATTTTTACTACAAGCTTTCGTCTGTTCCTACAGACATCTTCAGGTATAGAATAGATGTTGTTTTTTTCTCTTAGTAATAAGAGGACAACGAAAATATATGTGTTGTTGTATCCGAAAATGCTATTGAAAAAGAGTTATTGGTTTTGGAATGCGCCAAAGCAACGCTGAGTTTGATTTTAAATTTTTAAAGTGTTTGCGTTTATACCAAATATGGTGATGAACAAATTTTTTACTAGTAAATTTTTCTGTCAAAGTGGCATGAACTATATTGTTCAATAATTACAGTAATATCACACTTATTATCTAAATTATTATTTTTGTATACTATTTGAATTGTTTGCGATGATGGATGTCTCGCTATTTAAATCATTAACCTTTGCATTAGTTTTGTGTGAATAATTCATGTATTTGTAAATTGATTGCACGTTTATTGTAATTTAAATAACTGATCCAAGTGCGACTTTTAGATAATAAGTTGAGAAGGATTATGTGCAAAGAAGATTGCCCAGTGGGAGGGTGTTCATGCATTTGCACTTGTATTTGAATCAAGCTCTGATGCTTCATGCCTGTCTTTGTTTGATTATTAGATTTGTGAACAATTCCATACTATTTTAAAGTTATTATGGCCATAGGAAATTGACTGAATATCTAAAATATTGAAACAATTTAACCACACAAGTTTTTATTGATGGAATTCCTTTATTAAGAATAATCAAACACTTGTGAAGGACATACTGTAAAAAGATGGGGGGGAGTAGCTTAGTATACAAACAGATGATGCATGCAATCGGGGATGCAAGCAGACATTTCTAGATGGGAGGGTGCAGATATACAGGGGAGCATGGTTATACAATTGCAGCCATGTACACCTGGGTAACACTGGGTACCTCAGTTAGTTCCAGATAATATTTTGCCTCATCAGGCAGTGGTAAAGAAATGGCTAATTTTTAACTATACAAACCTCACATTCTTCCTTATTATTGGGAAGAACAACTTTTAGGTTTTTGCTTAGGGCAGCAAAGTCATTTTCATTGAGGGTGCAGGCCCATTTTGACTTGTTGTTCTGACTCTCCTGTTGATAGTATAGACAACGACTTGCATTGTTGGTCAAAACTGCAATATCCTAGGATGAAAAAAAAAAACAGAAGAAATCATTTACATACACTCATGAAAAACCTGATAAACATCAATGATATTTAACAAAGCATCAGATCATATAATAATTATTAATGTGTATTTATATCTTTCCTGTCCCATCTGTAATGGGAAAGGAAGTAAATCAACTTAAGTTAGTAAATTTATAAGTGATTACTTTCCTTATTTGTATTTAGACAAAATTATTTCCCAAACAAAATGTACCATTTAATTAATCAATTCCTTTATTCCTATGTTTCTTAAATTGCAGTCATTTTTGTAAAGCTTTTCATGTGAGGCACTCAGATGCCTATGTCTATTAATTGAATTGCTTCAACTTGGTCTTGAAATAAGCTTTGTCATCACTGTCTTTGTTGTTTTGTTACTAATCTTTTTCTTTTGAGAGATATTTTCATTTCACTGTTATATTAAACAAAATTTTTAACATGAAAAAAAGCAATTTATAAAATACCAGGAGTAATCAATGAAATGAATCATAGATACCATTGAACATCTAAAAGATATAAAAGGAATATATTAATTAAATGGTTCATTGACATCTATTTTCATTGTAAATTCTTTATCTCCATTTTATTGAGTCTCAATACATTGTTTCAAAACTTTTGTTTAATTGTATCTCACTATTAAAACTTTCTAACAATTGCCATCATTTTTTATGGTATGGGTACACTAGTTTGGATAGTAAATCATTGCTATGTATTTCTGTAGCAAATCATTTTGCTATGCATTTTTGAGGCAACAGAAATGTGGTTCTACAGGAGGATGCTGAGGATACCATGGAATGAACATGTAAGTAACAATAAAGTTTTAGAGAAAATGGAAACAAAAAGTAAATTTATACTTATAAGGAAGAGATAGTTGAGGTTTCTAGGGCACATAATGAGGAAGGAGGGCTTGGAAAATCTGATACTCTGTTGTAGAGTAGTTTTTACAGTGGAGGCTTGTATTTTGCTAAGTCGGTCCTAAAAGGGTCCAAACGTATAAAAATGTTAGGAACTTGAAAAAAGAGTTAATGACACAGCAATCTAGTTGTGATGGTTGATACTTCAATGTCCGACATTGACTGACTGACTCAACTCCACTGAGCTCAACTAGCGACCGCTACTACTACTACTTATTATGTGTGGGAGAGTCTATTACAATAGAATAGGTAATGTTCTGGTATAACATACTCACAAGACAAATTGAAGATAAGAGGGACAGAGGAAAACAACACATCATTTTTTTTTTTTAAGGCAGTTCACTCCAAGCAAGGCGGGAGTGCCACTAGCACACAAGGTGTTACAGAGGATTGAGAACAAGAGCAAAGAGTCGTATTTGAGGAAAGGACACAGAGGAGGACGGGGAAAAGCTCAGGGTGTCAGATGTCGATTGACATTACACTTGAATATTTGAAGATTATAGTCATCATGGAAGCAAGTAAGGGGAAGGGAGTTCCACAGATGGGAAGTGCAGGAGAAGAAACTGTTTGAGAAGAAGAGATGATTACATTTAACCGTTTTGACAGTGAAAGAGTGAGACCGAGATGCCAGCCTGGTAGTACGTTTAAATTCATGAAGTCCGTGAACCAGTGACAGTAGCTTGTCAGAACAGTTGCCATGAAGATATTTGTAGAAGAGACAGAGGGAGGCCACAGCACGTCTGTGGGATAGTGATTATAGACTAGATATCAAATCAGGACTTATCATGTTGCATATTCATTTCTGGATTTTGTCAAGCACCTTGAGACATACAGCAGAAGCACCAGACTATATATGACAGCAATATTCTATGCAAGGACGAATGGTTGATTTATAGATTTGAAGGATGGACTCTGACGAGAAAAACTTACGCATCATCTTCCAGATGTTAAGTATAATTGTACTTTTTGTTTTCATTTTCTCTAAAACTTTGTTGTTGCTTACATTTTTGCTTTGTCAACATCCTTCTGTAGAATCATATTTTTGTTGCTTTAAGTCTCTTCTTCATCTTTGAGGAGATTCTTCAGCATTCACTGCCATGTGGAAGGACAGGTATTATATAACAGTTCAGTATTTTTTTTTTCTTTGTTTCTAACAAAATTTTTCCATTTCTTAATACCTATGCTTAACTAGGCTGAAAAGGATAACACTGAATTCCAAAAGTACATTGTAGCTGAAACATTTAAAAGATTCATTCTGCTTGCTTTCATTCCTTAATCATGACTAATTCTATTTGTACAGGTTTGTCTCACAGCCAATAATTTATATGAGAATTTTTTTTTTAATCTGGAGAGTAAGAGGGAGAAAAATAGGACAGAGGAAGACGGAAAAGGATGGATGTACCACGATGGAATGACGTTGTTATTACCTCAGGATTTTGTTACATACTCACGAGAAAGAAAAATTCTTGCTATTGTTTTTTTTATCTGTCTATATTTCTGAAATTGAGGTATTGCAACTATTTACACTATTTACATCGTATGGACTGTTGTCCTCATCTTTGTTGCCATATTGGTGACGTTTTGGCCATTGTCTGCTCCAATCTATTCCAGGTGATATACATTGGAATTTCAAACCAAACCCTTTATTTAGTCCACTGGAGTAGATTGTTCTAATTCCACATGCCATGTCTTTCATTGGATATCTCTGTTTCAGTTAATTCTTTTCAGTGGCTCAAACTCCAAGTTTTTGTTCAGTCTAGTTACTAAAAGAAATTAACTGATACTGAGATATCCAAAAAAGGCATAACACATGGAATAAGAACAATCTACCACTGTGGACTAAATAAAGGGTTCGGTTTGAAATTCTAATGTATATCACCTGAAGAACACCAGAGCATTTAATGGCCGAAATGTCATGAATATAGCAGTAAAGATGAGAACAACAGTCCAAATGATGTAAATAGTGTAAATTGTTTTTTGTTTTTTTTTTAATACATTGTATTTGTCTGTCTTTAATTTTACAAATTTCTCCATTTCACTTAAGCAGATGTTACAGACATGAGAGAATTATTACTTTCTCTATCTTCTCTTTCTTTCTTTCATCCCTGAAACCAAACAGCATCCCTGATATGTCTTTTCTGTCTTTCCTCATGATCAAAATGGAATAGTCCATTATTTATGATGGTTTGATAGAGCATAATACATTATTTACATTAGTCGGACTATTGTCCTCATCTTTGTCGCCATATTTGACATGTTTCGAGAATTATGCGCTTTCTTCAGGTGGTTGGAATTTCGAACTGAACCCTTTATTTCGATCGCTGTTCTAATTCCACGTGCCATGTTTGATGGATGTCAGTTATCAGTTATTTTAAAGTTCTCCACTGCCTTAACCAGGAATTGAACTCTTTTGGGTCTGTCACTGGATCTAACCAACGCCTTTATCCACTGTGCCATGTGTCCTTGAGAGGACATCTGGGTATGAACTTCTGAGTCCAATTTTTCAGCATCATTTTTACCAGTGCTCATATTGCAATTTTTGCATGTCTTTACCAGAGTTCATATTGCAATACATGCACTAACTAACCAAGGAACAAGCAAAATTATAAAATGAGAATGATAACTTCTCATGCTGGAAATTCCGATAGACATTTTCCACCTGTTGATCTCTTGATAAAATTCTACTTCTGTACTGAATGAAATAAATTTTTTTAAAAATTATAAAACCTACACCTGACACAAAAAATTACAATATAGTTATATTTGAACATTGGTCAAATGTGAATAAGAGTAAACCTTGTTGCACTGAACAGGATGTTTTTAACTCACCTTCCATGGAGATGGATGCCAGTAGGGGTAATAATCCCTTTCTTCTGCACATTCATATCCATACCTGGTTCCTCCAGGGTTTTGCCGAGTGTGGGTTGCTTGGTTCTTCTTCAGTTTCTAGTAGAAAAAAAAAAAGAGAAACATCAACCCAAAATGGATAGGGTTTATTCTAGGTGTTTATATCATATTTATTATCTAGGTGTTTATTCTAGGTGTTTAAATGATGATAACATTTTGAGAATTCTGTAGAGAGTCCTGATAAAAAATAAAATATAAAAATAAACAATATAAACAAAAATAAAATGAATTCAAATTAAAATAAAGCAATAAAAATAGGAACAAGAAAAAACTGAACCTGGATGAAAAGTGGCAGAAGTTTACAGGATCAGAGCATACTTATTTGTGATTGAAAAATAATAAAAATCAGGGAGGTTCCATGCATAACTTCCATTATAAAAAAAATGAAAAAGAAACGAATGTTGGAAAATAAAATAATTTTAGCCAATCAAAAAAAACTGACATGAAGAGATTTTTGATGTTAGTCGAAAACAATGTTTGCACCAGAGTCTTGGAGCCTGGCCAAAAGGATATGAGCTGACAACTTAGAAGCAGAAAGGAAGATGGCAGAAGAGGATGGAACAAATAAAATGCTACTGCAGAGAAACCAATCATGCATGATGCATGAAGAAGTAGTTAAGAGGACATCTATTAATAATATTTCTGCCCTGCTTAGAGCTGAGAAAAACAGTAGATTGACACTGACCTATTTTTAATATTACTACTATCCCTATCATTGTCTGACTTAAAAACTACTACTTCTTCAAGCATACTATCAATATTCACCCTATAAACAAACATTTTTGTGACACTGAATATCAAAAGATTCACTCATCACTCTAAAGAAAATGATTAAAAATATATTATTTATTTTATTTTGAGTCAGTTCGTTTTATTTCCGATGTTCTGATAAACATCACCAAGAATATCTACACTTACAATCTTACTTATCTTACAATACATTCCTATAATAAATAATATACAATGTGTTATTATAGTAAATTATTTACAATGATGTCCTACAGTAAAGAACATTGGCAATGCATTTTTATAATAAAACTTTTACAATTCATTTTTATAGTAAAACATTTACAATGCATCTCTATTGTAAAACATTTAAATTGCATTTCTATAGTAAATTATTTGTGATATTTTTCCTTTGTAAATCATTTACAATACTATTTCTCTACTAAATAATATACAATTCAATTCTATAGTAAATTATTTACGATGCTATCCTACAGTAAAGAATCATTTACAATGTATTTTTATAGTAAAACATTTACAATGCATTTTTACAGTAAAGCATTTACAATATTTTTCTATACTAAGTAATATACAATGAATTTCTAGAGTAAATTTTTTACAATGCTATTCTACAAGAAAGAAACATTTGTAATGCATTTTTATAGTAAAACTTTTACAATGCATTTTATAGTAAAACATTTACAATGCATATTTATAGTAAAACTTTTACAATGCATTTTTATAATAAAACATTTATAATGAATTTGTATAGTAAAACATTTACAATGCATTTTTATAGTAAAACATTTTATATTTCTGTAGTAAAACATTTACAATACATTTCTGTAAAAAACATTTATAATTTATATCTATAGTAAAACTTTTACAATGCATTTTTATAGTAAAACATTTATAATGAATTTGTATAGTAAAACTTTTACAATGCATTTTTATAGTAAAACATTTACAATATATTTCTGTAGTAAAACATTTACAATACATTTCTGTAGTAAAACATTTATAATTCATATCTATAGTAAAACTTTTACAATGCATTTTTATAGTAAAACATTTACAATGCATTTCTGTAGTAAATTATTCATAATATTTTTCATTGTAAATAATTTACAATACTTTTCTATATAAAATGTATCTTTATAGTAAATTATTTAAAATGAACCACTATTGTAAATCATTTTATAAATGACATGAAATGTATGAACAAAGTATATAAAATGGAATGGATGAAAACCAAATGAATGTTTAACTTTTTTTTATTTCCTTGTTAGCATTTCATTTTTTATTATCATTTTCACAACTGAAAAAAAGTCTATGGAAAAAATCGTTACCATCTGTGGTTTATTTAAAAAATAATTAAACCAGCTAAGTGACATAGCTTACCTCTGTCTTTTTTACAAATATTTTCATGGCAACTGATTAGACGATCTTTCCTTCTTGGTGCTTCAACATGAATTTAAGCGTGCTATAAGATTGGCAACTAGGACTTACCATTTTACTTTTGAACTAGCTAGATGTTCTATTCTAATAGTTTCTTTTCTCACCTGTGAAACTCCTTTCTGATTTCTTGCTTCCCTGACAACTACAATCATTAACAATTTAAATGCAATGTCAATCATCATCATCTATATTCCTGAACCCTGTTCTTTTATGGTTTTTTCTCTTTACCAAAATTTTCTCATTCTTTTTCACTCCTAGTAAAATTATCACATTGCTTGTGGTGAAAAGATTAATAAAAATTTAAAAAAAGGGGCAGAATGACTGTTAAAAATAAATTTAATTTTGGTTGTATTTGTAAAAGAAAATAATTTAAAAACTTGTTTTTCAGTTATTGCACGTCTTTCAAGTTAAAACCCAAAAACTTATAACAAAGAAATGGCATTGCATGAGATTCTGATCGTGTACTATGAAAAAGATTTAAAAAACAAACAGATGATCATCAAAAAAAGGTGTAGGTTAATAAAAATATTTAATTTTGGAACTTAAAACAACTATACTATGCTTTTATAAAAAGTGGTGTGAACAAGAGAGAGGGAAAATAGTAGTTGTAATCAGAATGTTATAAGTATTTTGGATAAAGAGAAAGGTTTAGAATAACCTGGTCTAAATAATTGGTTATGGCATAGGTTGAATTTGTTCTTTCTGTGAGGACATTTCTTACAGATGTGAAGTGGATTCCCACTCTCTTTTCTACAAATATTTTCATGGCAACTGCTCTGACAAGCTTTTTTTCCCTGGTGCTCAGACTACATCAATTTAAATGTGCTACTAGATTGGCATCTAGGTCCCACCTTTTTACTGTTGAAATAGTTAAATGTAACCACCACTTCTACTCCAACAGTTTTTTTTCGTACACTATCCGCCAGTAGAACTCCCTTCTGTTTACTTGCTTCCCTGATAACTACAAAAATTTAAATGCAATATTAATCACTATCTTCTATCTCCTTGAATACCATTCACCTCTTATCCTTTCCTCAATCTTCCATTTACCCAGTCTTTTGTCTCTCTTTCACTCTCTGTAATCCCCTGCATACTAATGGCATTCCTGCCTTGCTTGGAGTGAAATAATTAAAAAAAAAAAAAAAACATTTGCAATGTTTTATGATTAATATTTTACAATGTATTTTTTACATCAAATTTTTTATATGTTTTATATATAGCTAGCCACCTGTATTCAAGGATACCTGTCTACTAGGGTGGCTAGCCAATCCCTATTGCAGACACTTGCTCAGGTGCATTTGTGTTTATTCAACACTCACAGAGCTCACCTGTGGTTTATACTGCAACTATGCTGAGCAGACCTTAGTTACAGTTTCTGGGAAAGAGTGTGTTATCTAGCGTGATCAACAATTTGAACAAGGCCAGCATGCTCAAGCTCTTGGCCACGATGATTTGTGACTTTGTGCTAGCACAGCTATCGACGGCCCCCAAGAGTTCCATTTACCCAATTTTTACTTACAAGGCTTGGGTCAACCTGTGGCATGGTTCTCAGGCACTTTCCAAAGGTGCCACTTGCTGGGATCAACCGCTCCAGACTGATAACATCAAGAAGTCACCTTCATGACAAATTGACCATGGTGAGATTTGAACCCGGGTCTCATGGTCAGAATGTGAATATTCTAACCACTCAGCCACATGCCCATCATATATATGTATTTCTATAGTAAATCATTATATGTATTTCTATAGTAAATCACTTGCTATATATTTGTATGGTAAATAATTTTCTATAGACTTATGTCATAAATCATTTAAAATGTAATGCAATAGTCAATTTCTAATGCATTTCTATTTTAAAGCATTCAGTATAGTTTCTGAGTGAACCATTTTTAAAATAAGTTTTTAGAAAATGATTTTCAAGTTGCGAAATTGACTAAATTTTATTTTTGAATCAAAAATCATTGGAGAATTTTTTTATAAGTACTGACTTGATCTGCAATGAAAAGTCCGCGATTTCTTTCTCTCATTAAGCAGTTTTTGTAGTGTCTCCAATTTTCATGCATACCAAACTGGAAGTTTTTGTCAGAGTTAACCAATGGAATAGTCCTGTAATTAAACAAAATTGTTTAAGAAATTAAAAAAAAAACTCTGACATTTCACAGAGCAGAAATAAACACAAATGTTTGCAAGTTTAAAAGTATTACTAGGTAAGTATAATAGATTTATATAATTCATGAGATGAACATGGTTAAAATGTAAATAGAGAGAGTGAAAAAAAATGTGAATTCTGCCTTTATGGAATTTGAAGTTGGTTGTGTATTGGGTGTATTTTAGGTATGTGTATGTTCACATGTAAACAGTTAAGAAGGATACAAAAACTTAGGTTTATACTGTGGACTGTTTATTCTTTTTTTTAGGAAAACAAAGTTCACAATGTCTCTTGGATCTGTCCATTTTCTTTTTCTGGTCTTGAAGTTAGGGTAAATAAAGATAAGCATGGTTATAATGGTCAAGCTTAAGTTAGTCCTTCGCCAAGTTGGAATGATCAAAGAAAAGTTGTACTTACTTCATATGGTCAAGTTCAAATGAGTCTTGCACTGAATTCCAAGGATCAAAGAAAAGGTTGTACTTACTTTACTGGTGAAGGTTTAAGCATAATTATAATGGTTAAACTCAAGTCAGCCTTGTGCTGAGTTGGAATGATCAAGGAAAAGGTTGTACTTCATTGGTGAAGGTTTAATCATGGTTATAATGGTTGAACTCAAGTCAGTCTTGTACTGAGTTGGAATGATCAAGGAAAAGGTTGTACTTCATTGGTGAAGGTTTAATCATGGTTATAATGGTTGAACTCAAGTCAGCCTTGTGCTGAGTTGGAATGATCAAGGAAAAGGTTGTACTTCATTGGTGAAGGTTTAATCATGGTTATAATGGTTGAACTCAAGTCAGTCTTGTACTGAGTTGAAACAACCAAAGAAAAGGTTGTACTTACTTCATTGGTAAAGATTTAAGCATGGTTATTATGGTTGAGCTCAAATGAGCCTTGTATTGAATTGGAAGGACCATAAAAAAAAGGTTGTACTTACTTCAGTGTCGAAGGTTTAAGCATGGTTATAATGGTTGAGCTCAAGTCAGCTTTGTGCTGATTTGGAACAACCAAGGAAAACATTGGAATGATCAAGGAAAAAGTTGTACTTACTTCATTGGTGAAGGTTTAAGCATGGTTATGATGATTGAGCTAAAGTTAACCTTGCATTAAGTTGGAATGACCAAAGAAAAGGTTGTACTTATTTCATCAGTGGAGTTTTAGCAAAACATGTGCAAATGTTATGCATTGGACAGTAGAAGAGTTTAGTTGATAGCTGATTGGGTAAAAGAGACAATCATTATCAAGGTTATCTTCATCTACATTCTGCTACATCTTGAAGCAATTGAAAGAATGAGAGATGGAAAGGAAATATTTGTTTTTTTTTTATAGATTTAAACAGTGTCACCTCATGAGCATTTGGCAAAGTCAATTGGGGTAGTAATATTTTTGCTTCCTTTATTAATAACATCATAGGAAAATGTATTTCTTTTTCTTTTCTTCTAAGCTTGACCCAAAAAAAAATCCTAAAATGATCTATAGTGGAAGGGCGTAAATAGGTTCAGCTACAGATAAACCTTGTTCACCTATCATCCAGTTTATACTCCTCTCTGGTCAAAAGACGAGAGAGGAGTATGAACTGGATGATAGGCAAACAAAGTTTATCCCTTGTTTCTTTTTAAGGATTGGGATTCCAGTTCCTTCTAAATTGTTTTTCATTCTCTTTTATTCTCAGTAGCCCTTTGCATTATTGCCTTGCTTAGGGTAAAATGATTAAAAAAAATTTATGAAAATAATAATAATTAGAATTTTTCACTTACTTGACACTTTTCCCATCTCTGATCAAATCATGACACATGTATTGTAGGATAAATTCGCAATTGTTATTAGGGTGCTGGCATGAATGTTGACTGGTCCTATAAAGAGTGAATTTTACAGTAAATAAAAAGGGAGAGGAAATTGGTCAAATCATTTCAAATTAAATTCCTGCTCCAAATTCCCTGTATGATAATCTACCAAAATGTCTCTGGGCTTTGACTCTGAAAAAATAATTATCTTTATATCTAATTTCTACCATCTCTTTTAAACTTAGGTGCTGATCACAAAGACTTGAGACAAATGTTTGTATTACATTTGATTAACATTAAACTAGTGGTATATGACTCACCCCAGATGATGACAAAATATTTACACCTGATGCCTCTCAGAGAAACCAGGTGCATCAGCATGTTGATCTGAGAAATGATCTCCTAGCTACCAGGTGCAGATCTGCACCTTCATTAGAGGTCAGTGGCTGCACCTAATATGTGAATAGATGATCATCCAGCTGTGCTTTGGATATGCACATACTGGACAGCTGAGGATAGGCAGATAAGCACCCACCTGAGAGGAAAGAACTAGAGAGTCTCTTGTATCCTCACAAGAATGTAGGATCCACATTTGAAGAAAATCCCAAAGCTACACACCATTTCACTAGTATTAACAGACATAATCTGGAATTGAATAAACAATAATATTACATATGAAAGATTTAGTCATGTGTTCTTATTACACTGATAACATTACACATTGTTCAAATTCACTGGAATTTGGTGGAGAAATTCTATAGTAAATACTTTGCCAAAGTTCTTTCTAGAAAACACATTTCTACAGTAAGCCCTTCTCAGTAAATTTCTATATTAAATGATGTCCGTATATATGCATATATTCTTTTTAAATAAGTAATTTATATGTAACCATAAGTTCTATGCTAACAGATTATTTTAAATAGACTATGAAAATAATTACTTACCATTCAACCTGTAGTTTAGATCCTGTGTAATAATAAACACTCCCTGTATTATAGCCTCCATTATTGTTGTTCTGGGAATTAAAAAGTCTGCAAAAATAAAAATAAAAAAGTATTTGAATTATAAGTCAGATCAGTTTGATAAGGTGAAACTGGAAGGTGATCTAAAAAATGACCAACAGTTTGTTGTTAACTGGGGCAAGGCATGGCTTGTTAATTTCAATGCCTTCAAAATGAAACCTCTCTCAATAATTACCTGAAAGACCCATGAGAGTGACTTATTACATCTTCTTGGTCTAGCTTTCTCAGCTGAAGTGGAAAGACTATATTGAATCCATTACTAGGTCTGTTGCTAACAAAATCGGTTCATTGTGTCATGCAATTTTTCTCTCCAGAATCTATCTTTCATATTTATAAGTCTATCATTCATCCATGCTTTGAATATTGCTGCAACATCTGGTCTAACACTCCTGCTGTATATTTAGAGATTTTTAATATAATCTAATGAAGAATCAGCAATATTATTAGTCTTGACCTGGTGGCTTGGCTTCAGTCCCTTTCTCACTGTCATTATGTAGCTTTCCTGTGCCTTTTCTATAAACACTTTCATGTTAATTGTTCAGATGAACTCTTTACTATGATAACTAGACTTTATGAGTTTAAGGGCAGTACTAGATTGGTGACAAGGTCTCATCAATTCACAGTTGAATTGGCTAGATGTAACCATAAGTTCTCTGCTAAAAGTTTTTCTCACACTTATTATTTGATTATTTAGAAATCCTTCTAACTTCATGCTTCCTAACTAACTTCGATCTTCAAAAGTTTAAATGCAATGCCAATTGCTATCTACTGTCTTGATTACTCTTCTTTTCTTCTCACTCCCTAATGTTTCTCTTTTTTTTGTTCTTCCAAAGTCATTAATCATTTGTGTCTTAGTGGCTTTATTGCCTTGCATGGGGTGATATGATCAAAAAATATATAAATGCAAATTATAAAACTAGTTTTGCATGCCAAATGGTGTATGGTGGTTAGTAAACCTAAAATGTCTGAGATCATTACATTACTTGTGATACATGAGGTTGTTTAAAGCAGGATTTTAATATTGATTTTCCAAGCTGTCATTCCTTCAATATTTCATCTTTGTTGTTTTTAATATGTTTTGACTAATATATTTCTCATCATCACTTATGAGTGGTTAGAACATTAGTGCTACAACTATGAGACCATGGTTGATTTCTCAGGCTAGCAACATTATCAAGATCAGCCTTAGGAAATGATCCTAGCATGCTACAATGTTAGGGATTGCCTTAAAATATGAGATGATTCAAGCCATGTGAGTGAAATTGTCTAGACAAAACTGTTCAAAAGCTGTTGACAGTTGTTTTAGCACAAAGTTACAAAACATTGTGACCAAGGTTTTGAGTATACCAGTCTTGTTTAAACTATTGATCAAGTCAGATTATTTACTCTTTTTGATAAACTCTAACTAGGGTTCACTCAACATTGTTTTTTTAATCATTTCATCCCAAGCAAGGCAATAAAGCCACTAAGACACAAGGGATTACTGAGCATCAAAAAATAAGAAGACATAGAAACATTATTAAGGAACAAGAACAACTGAATAGTAATCAGGAAGACAATATATTGAACAAACACATATGTGGCTGAGGAGGCGTCTGCAACAAGGATTAAATAGCCACTCTAGCAGACAGGCATACTTGCAAACAAGCAGCTAGCTATAAAATTTAATTTGCTACCTGGAGATCTGAGACAAAATATTTACATTATTTTGTATATCCACTGATGTTTCCTATTTAGAGCTAGGTTTCAAGTCCCTTCTAAAGTCTATTTCAACTCTATACTTCTAATGTCTCTGTCTGAACTCTAAAATTTTATTTGCTAATTAAATCTCGACCCCTTCAAGCCTAGAATTAGCTGTCTATCTTTCCTGTTATCTTGCCCCTTTACTTACACTAATATAACTCCACACAGTAACCCTCTACCTTGAGTGGCCCTTGGGCCTTGTATTGAGTGAACATTAGTCAAAAAATGTGCCAAAAGTCATGGGATAAAGGTCATGGTAGATGACACCACCTTTACTTGATGTTATGGAAATGCCCAAACCTATATTAGTTGTACACTTATATCTGGTGAGAACACTACCTGGGTTGTTCATAGCAAGGTGATGTTAATTATTAGAGTTTGAATGAGCTACAAGCATAGCACATTTAGTTTCTAAAATAATAAGGACATTTGACATCCTTCAATCTATGGTATACTAGAGAATACTTGATGGAAAGCATTACTGCCCACTGTGGACTGTACAGTGACCAACAAGTAGTTAATGATTGTGACTGGAGGTGATTTTTTTATATTATTGTTCATCCAATAGATGGCCAAAGAACCACTCAAGGTAGAGGGTTATTGAATGATATTGTTGTAAGGTTGTAAAAGGAAGAGATAAGAAATGCATATCATGAACACATGTAAGATAGATAAGGGTTGACACTAGACCTTAAGTGGTAAAAATTGTCAGAGTCAAGAAAGCATCCTCTTGGGAGTCGGATTCACAAAGTGATAGCTCTGGTTAGAATTGTCTGAAGATCACTCATTGCAGGAAACTTTTAATTGTAGTAAAGTAGTGTCTTTAGATATTTCTGGGTTACACTCCTGCTCTGACATGGGTGGTTATTTTAGAATCAGACTAGCAGCATGACCCGGCGTTGTCCGTGCTTGATTCAAAAATCGTACGACTCATACAGCAATCGTTATCACTTGACTTAAAATATTTTTACACTTCCTTGCCTTTAAAGGAGTCCCCGTTGTCTTACTTCTTGCCTATCTCACACTGCAAATTTTTTCTAAGCTCTATACTAAACATTAAATCTGTTACGAAAAGAGAACTAAACAAAATGAACACAAAACGATCAGCTTTAAAAAAGGACTCGTAATGGGGTGAATGATAGTTACCCTACAAGAAATATGTGATATGGTTAGAACAGGGATGGCCAACCTTTTGATTCCATGCGCCAATATTTTGTATGATTAATTTAAATGCACCACATAAACATTCAATTCCTTTCAGTACGTGTTGTAATATGGACATATTTTTAAGTTATAATAAAATCTATTTATTTGAAAAATCTATGCTTATGACCAGGGGCATATCCTTTTAGCACTTTCGCAAAGGACGTGCAATAAATATAAAATCACTGAAATGAATGAATAGAAATGGCTTAGTTTCTTTTCATCAAAAGGATGCAATGCGCCACTTGTAAGCATCCAATGCGCCACTTATGGCGCATGCACCACAGGTTGGCCATCCTTGGCTTAGAATATCCTTAAATATTAATCAATGGTGCAGTACTAGTGACTGTGTTCAATGGTTCAATAATTACAATAAAAATGACAAATTCTCATTTGTAAAATATGACATAAAAGAGTTCTACCCATCAATCATGGAAAAACAGTTAAGGAAGCATTGGATCTGTCTAAAAAGAACATATATCTATACGTGAAGATAAAATTGAAGTCATTATGCATTGTCGCAAGTCATTACTATACCATAACGAGACATTATGAATCAAGAAAAGTACTAGTGGCAATTTTGACAATCCTGTGGGAGCGTATGATAGGGTCGAATTGTACAAATTGGTAGGATGTATATTATTGAATAACCTAAATGAACTTATAGACCCCAGTAATCATGGCCTATATAGGGATGACAGTTTAATTATCATCGATAACTGTAACCCCAGAAAAGGAGATATCATCTGTAAAAAGTTACACTGGATGTTTAATAAATTTGGATTGAAGTTGGATATACAAACCAACTTAAAAATCACGGATTACCTGGATATTACACTTGACTTGTGTATAGGCACCATTTCCCCATTTAAGATAAGTAACCAACAGCCCTGCTATATTGATGTAGGTTCCAACAACCCAAAACATGTCTTTAAACAAATCCCCAACAGAATCACTTTTAGATTATCCACAAATTCATCCAACGCTAGTATCTTCAACCAAAATAAACAAGATTACGAGATGGCACTGAAAAAGAGTGGATACAAAACCAAACTAAAATAAGTGAATATTGACAATTCTCCCAATATATATGGTAGGAGGAAAAATAGGAGTAGAAAAATACGATGGTTCAACCCATCATACAATTTAGCCGTAACCACCAAAATAGGAAAGGAATTTTTTAAAATATTAAAAAAGAATTTCTCCCCATCCAGTGCTTTACACAAAATGTTCAATAGGAATTCAGTCAAATTAAACTACATTTGTATGCCCAGTATAGCTAATTTGATTAACAAATATAATATTAAAAAAACCCATAAAAATAAACAAAATTCCAATCCCCCTACATGTAAAAAAATAAACAAAATTCCAATCCCCTCAACTCTTGAATGACAGATCGGTTGTAACTGCAGAAATAAGGCATCCTGACCATTTTGAACCCGTTACACGGGTTCAATGGGCATGTTTTTTTTGGTTGGAGGGCAAGTGTTGTGCCACATGACGCCCTCGTTGTGAAATATCGTCAGCAAGTGGAATATTACAGAAATAGACATAGCATTGGCAGTGAAAACAAAAACAGTTTATATTGAGTCTACTCTAGGTATTTAGAAAAAAAGATACTAACTATAATCACATAACACGAAAGTTATAGATATAGCACAAGACTATCTAACCATATATGGAATATAAATCAAGAAGAAGTTGAAAAATGACAGAATTTAAAAAATGTTATAGATTGAACTCTAAGTGCCTTGCATGGAGGAGAAGTTAGCCATACCTAAATCCGAGGAGGACTGATATGTCCCGGAAGGGATATATTTGAGCAAAAGAAGTGATTTTGGCTACAATAACCAAGTAGAATACGATTGAGCGTCATAGTTTTAAGAAGTGGGGAGATCAATTGTGGTAGTCAATCCCATTATTATCTCAGACTAAAGGCTCTTTTGACTAACCAAAGATCAGTGAAAACACAGGTGTATGCATATCCCATTATAAACATAAAAAACAGCATAAAAAAGCATGGTTATTGGAATAAAAGTTTAATAATATTTTTTTTAATTTTTTAAAATTTCTTTCCTTTTTTTTTTAATGTCATATGGTTTTATGCTAATTTTAGTTTTAGTGTTTCTTTATACCAATAATTATGTTCCTTTGTCATATTCTCTTCTGCCAAGCTTACCCTGAAGGTCCATTTAGCTGACTCACTAGGATTTTTATACTCTGCTCTACTTTATTGAGCACATTACGTTTTTTCTTATTTTACTCAATTGTTTTTTTTTTCTTTTGACTAGAAATTATGACTCTGGGTGATTTTTTTTTGTCCTACTTGGATGTTTTTAGTCTTTACTTTTTTTTCCAAATCTTTTCCTCAGATACCAGTTTGTTTAAATATATTCTTATTTGCAGACTGCTGATGAGTCCACAAAAGGATGAAATGGCCGTCCAGTATTTTCTGTATTCTGTTGAGGATTCTTGTTCTAGACTCAATGAACTATGAGAAATTATTCAAATCTCCAAAAAAGGTAAAGAATAAAAAAAAAAACTTGACTAAGCACATGGACAATCATCTTACTTATTATAAAATGCAGATTGTATGTGTGTGTGTGTGTGTGTGTGTGTGTGTGTGTGTGTGTGTGTGTGTCTGTACGTTTATATATTGAATCGGATTTCCTACATTTTTCAACTGATTTCAAAAAACTTCACAGGACTACTTAAAATTACTTTGCGATGGTTCTGACAGCACCAAAAATTGGAAAAACACAATTGCTTTTGCATGAAATCAATTTGAAAACACAATTAGAGGCATTAATGAAAGGGGGACAACTCATATCGAGTTATACTTATTAATATCGAGTTATCGAGTTATACTTATTATAAAACCCAGGTTGGTTGTTTGTTTGTGTGTGTGTGTGTGTGTGTGTGTGTGTTCATTTATTTATGGGATCGGATTTCCTACATTTTTCAACCAATTTCAACAAAACTTCACTTTTTTTTGGCAGATAGTGTTTTTTATTGTCTTGCACACTTTTTTCTTTATTTTTACATTCAGAATGCTTTAAAAATTCCATTTACAAGACAATTGTTTAAAATATAATTCTATTCAATCGGTAGACTCATAATGATTGAAAACAATGTTTTTGTTTGAGTTTGACCAATTCGTAAAAAAAAAAAAAACAAAAAAACAAACTAATTAAGACATGCGTGTCCATCAACCTTAAACAATAATCATTCCCAGGCAACGCCGGGATCTACTGCTAGTTTTTTTATAAATTGAAAGGTTACGAGAGTCTTTTAAGTAGGAAGGAGCTCCATCACTTGAGAAACGGCACTTAAAATGCTATTTTTTTAATACTTTCTTTTCAACTGTTATTCTGGAAAAAAAAATCCCAAAAAACAATGAACAAGTGAGAAATATTCCATCATACTCACCTCTGATTGTTTGCTCTTGCAACAGATTCTTCTGCCAGCCGATTGTTGGAACCTCTGTAAAATAAACAAACAACTTTTATCAAGTTACTTACAATTAATTTTTAAGGATTAAAAGCCATTTTCTTGCTTAATTGTTGAAATTATTACAAAATATTCTACCAAAATCATCAGTATGTTATATATATATATATATATATATATATATATATATATATATATAAAGAAAGAACAGTAAGATGTATAATCCGGTGTTCTTATAGATATTTTTATTTTTACAAAATAGTGCTCGATATAAATTTACAGAGCATTAATATTATAAATTAATTGATTTAAAATATTTTTTTTTTCACTACAAAGTTCTAACCATGTTTCAAAAATGGAAGCTGAAAGCTCTGAATTTAATTTTGTAATTAAATTAAAGACATTAGTTCCATTTCATCCTCAAGCGAATTTTGGAGTAACTTTTAAAATTACTGGGTTTTAAAGACACAGCAAAAATCATAATTGTGTCTTTAAAACTTCTTACTTCTTACACTGCAAATTTTTTCTAAGCTCTATACTAAACATTAAATCTCTTACGAAAAAATAACCATGCAAAATGAACACAAAACGATCAGCTTTAAAAAAGGACTCGTAACTGGAGTTAACCGAATGAAAAAAGAATGTTAACAAGAAATACTTTTTCACATCCAACCCAGTTCTGCGGAATCAGAATCAACGTTGAGTCTAAGCAAGCGAATGAGCCAAATGGAGTAAATTGCCATGCAGATTTAAATTTTTCCCATCTGTGACGAATGCAGCTATCGAATTTTTTTGCATGCTAGCATGCTAGTTAACATTCGTGTCAGTCAGCTGTTGGCTCTCATGCTGGCCAATAAAATCTTCCTGCCTATTCGTGGCAGCCAGCTATAGGCTCTCACTCTGGCAAGTAGAAAATGGCCGCAAACTACATGAAAACTGCTGTAGAAGCATGAAAAAAATCGATTATTTCCACTATTGATGGGAGTTGGGAAATGCAAAGTCAGTCTTGGCCTTCTCCACTAACTTGGAGCATGTGCATGTAAATTTTGGTGCAAATCTGTTGAAAATTGCAGCTGTGCATTCGTTACACACACACACACACACACACATCCTGCCTTTTATAGATAGAGATTTGTTCTCCATAGATACTTGTGTGTTGGTGTGGGGATAAAGTGTCAATTCCGACCAGTGTATTTGGTCATTATGTGTGTATGCTGTATGTTTATATGTGTGTGTGTGTGGGGGGGTTGTTTATGATCTGTTTAGTGCAGATTTAAATTTGTTTATGAAGTTTTTTTCTTGTATTTGTAGGTTAGAATAATTGTTTGTTTGACATGTCTGTTTGATATATTGGCATAATTTTAAATTTTCTTGATTACATTTGTAGATGTGTTGTGATACAAAGAGTTTTCTCTTGTCTGGAAATTTGATGTTTCTTTTATGAAGGAAAACTCTTGTTTAGTGCTTGGCTGATACCTATATATGACTTGTTGCATTTTGTGCATTTGAGTGAATAAATCACATTTTTGGAGTTGCAGTTTAAATTTTTATTTAATGTGAATATCATTCACAACAGAGTTTCCCTTCACAAAAACAACATCAAACAACATAAAACTTTGTATCACAACACATCTACATATGTAATCAAGGTAAATTTAAAGTTATGCCAATATATGAAACAGGCAATAATTCCTACCTACAATAAACAAATTTAAACCAGCACTAAGCAGATCATAACCCCATGCACATAAACACAGAGCATACACACATAATGGCCAAATACACTGATCGGACCACACGCATAGACACACACACACACACAAGTATCTATAGAGAACAAATATATATACACATACTGGTGAAAACAAGACTCTAAAATTCTCTTGTACTGCTCGCTTCTGAGGGTCTTTTAAATAGGTTTTAAGAAACCCCAGAACATTAAAAGCTTCCCCATTTATGTTATTGGATGCTTACTGCTAAATTCAAAGAGCTTTCAAAGCTTCTTCTTCAGATTTTAGATCGCTTGTCCTTTGAATTTAGGTCAACTTTCGTTTCATCGGAGAAGAGAACATTCTTTGGTGAAATTTTTGTAATAGTGAGTCCATTCAAGTCTCTTGGCTTTGCTTATTAGCAGCTTAAACCTTCGTGTACAAGTTTTGCAGCCTTGTTCTAACAGCCACTGATTGACTGTTGAAGAGGCAAGACTAACACCTTGCTCTTCGCTTAGACTGGTTGCAATTTCTTGGCTAGTTATAGTCCTATTCTTCACAACTTCTCTCTTGATTACCCTGCCAGTTCTATCATCGATCTTTTTCTTTCGTCCCCTTGTGTCCTTCCTTGGAGCAGGAGTGGAATCATTATGTGCCCTAAGCACTTGAGAGACAGTTAGGTTATAGCAATTTCTGCAATTTCTCTCATAGACTTGACTGCTTTTGAGAGGGCAATAATAGATGCCTTAAGTGGTTCTGAGTGGCTATTTCAAGCTGTTTTTATACTGTATGAATTACCAGTTTAATCATTAGAATGCGATATCTAAGTCAGTTTTTTCCTGAATCTCATTTATATCCAAATTTATAATTATCAATAGAATACCTTAGGGTGAATAAACTTTTTTCCTAGGTGAACGGGAAGGAGTCTTTATATTAGTAAGATAAAAAATTATTTTAACCCTAAAAACAATAGACAAAAAATATTTTAGTAAAAAAATAAGGTGAGTCACTTTTATTGAACAGCACTGTATATATATATATATATATATATATATATATATATATATAATATATATATATATATATTTATGAATTGTTTATGAATTTAACATGCTTCGCTTTTATTTAAGCTTCACCAGAAAATAAAATACTTTTTTGCTGCTTGTTTTTCATTGGTTAAGTAGACCTCATGTGCATTTGTCTTGTTTGGTAGCATTCATTTGCATCATTCATGTGTGTATTTGTATCACAATTCTAGTTGTCGGTATTGGAATTGTTTGATAACTTGTGTGCATGTGCGGGCATTGAAGTCAACATCTTCAGGCAACAGTCTGTTTCATACTTAAACACATCCACAAGACACTTTTCAAAAATTAAAATAGTGAAAACATCCTATTATAATTGTGCTTGCTCTCCTTTGTTAGTATGACTGTTACGTCCTACCAGTACCTCATAAATAATGAACTGTTCTGCATTTTGATTGCATGGAAAGAGGGAAAAAGACATTATTTTGGTTCAGTGAGAAAATGAAAGAAAGAAGGAAAGATAGAAGTGGGGAGAAAGAGAGAATCAGATTAAGCTGATAAGAACAGATATTACACTTTGATTTTAGCCAAAAGGCCGAGATGCAATGACGACTATGATAAAAATGCTATTTTTCAGACACATAGGCAATTACTAATAATCCAATTACTATAAATAAAATTAAAATGTTTGCTGAATTATTTTTAAATTATTATTAAGAGAAATGTTCGTAAGATGGAGATTTGGCTAGAAAGAAATAAGGGAAGATAAAAGTGTTTAATGTCTCCTGCCAATACCTCATAAATATTGGACTATTCTGTTTTGAACATGTGAGAAGACAGAAAAGACATATCAGTGATGCTACTTGGTTTCAGTGAGAAAATGAAAGAAAGAAAGACAAAAAAAAAGAAAGAATGAAGGGAAGATAGAAGTATTTGATGGCTGTTTCAGTGAAATGGAAAAGTTTTTCAGTTTCAAATCTTTTCATTTATACCCACTTACTTTTTAAAATAACAACCAGCATTCATATTTATGATTGTTATTGCAATATTTTGTTAAAGCTGTTAAGCTTGGGGAATTTCCACACATATCTTATTGTTGAAGAACTCACCATGAGCTAATTTAATCATTAACTTAAGATTTAAGAATTAAGATTCATTAGAAAATTTCAAATAGGAAAATCATGATATTTTCATGGGCCTTTCTAGTTCAGAGAAATTCAGACCAATGACAGACTGAATAACATTACACTGCAATCAACTGAAAGTTTTCAATCTGAGAGACTTGAATAAAAATACTTTATTGATGAATTAAAAAGCCACCATGATAATTGCAGATTCAAACTGCATTGAATTGTCATTGTGGCTCCTACTCTTTGGGAAAACTGCTTGAAGTACTTTATTTTATTCAATAAAGTGTCATTACAATATTTTAAAAGAAGCATAAAAATAAATGGATGTGTGAGTGGTGAAATAAATAACAGCTTGTAATGAGAAATTAGAGTTTAAATTTCAGCCATGTTTGTTGCATTCATTTATGTGCAAATACCCTTGGAAAAGGTATGAATCTATCTCCCCTTGCTATGGGCTAAATAGTAGGACTTGTATCTGGAAAAATTATTATTTTAAATAAATTGTTATGGCAATATTCATTTGCCAAAATAGTAGAATTATTCTTACAATTTAAAATATGTTTGGGTTTAAATATCTGGCAGTGGATTGATAAACCATAAAAAATCAACTCTATCACTCAAAAAACATAAAAATAAATAAATAAATAAAAACAAAAGCTTTATGCATCTATTTTCAGTTTTGCATCTCCTTCTCATGTCTCCAAGTAACCCCCAACCACTTTTGGAAATACAGGAACTGAAACTGGAAATGTTATATAAGATTATGCTGATAGAAAACATCTTTTAAGTCTATTCTGATTTTTTTCTCATAGAATATAAATATTCTTAGTAGTGTTTTGTTTTATTATCACGTGGAAATAAATAAGCCAGTTTCACAAAGGAGAGATTGTAATTGTAAACAAAGTCCTTGAACAAAATTGCTGCTTTGTTTTGATTGAAAGGAAAAAGTCCTTGGCCCATGAGAAGATTGAAATAAAAACAAACTTAAAGGAAAATGAGTTTGTTCAAAAGAAACGATAAGACACCACATAACATTGTTCAATCCCAACATGTTACAAATAACTTGCTTTGCAATTAAATATTTGTCATAATTTTCCTAATTATTTAATACAAACGATACTGTTGACTACCCAGCTTGTAAAACTCTCTTCCAGCTTCTGTCTTTCCAG